CTTGCCATGTAGACCATGCTAGTCTCAGACTCACAGAACTCACAGAGATCCTCCTGCCTCTGCCTCCCAAGTGCTGGGACTGAAGGTGTGCGCCACCACACCCGATCAAGTGCTTTTTAAAAAATTATTTACTTATTTTTATTATGTGTATGAGTGTTTTTTGCCTGCATGTATGAAAGTGCATCAGTATCATGCAATGCCCAGGGAGGCCAGAAGAGGGAGTCTGATCCCTGGAACTAGCATTATGGATGGTTGTTAGCTACCAAGAGGTGCTGGGAACTGAACCCAGGTCTCTACAAGAGCAGTCAGTTCTCTTATCCACTGAGCCATCTCTCAAGCCCCACTAAAAAATCTTAATAAGAGGAAACCCTGCAAATCTAAAGACGTGTCATCATTCCATCCAGAGGATGGATGGCTTTAAAGACTACCGGACTTACCAGGCACAGTGGTACACACCTGTAATCCCAGCACTTGGGAGGCTGAGGCAGGAAGAGTTCCATCCTAGCCAGGGCCACCTGGGTAGACTCTGTCTCTAAAATAAACACAAACAAATCACAAACAAAAAACCCTCACCACATTATGAATTGTGCAAAGCTGTAAATACAGATGAAAAAAACTGCAAAGTTATTTCTCCTATATTAAAATAAGAGTATGAGGCTGGAAAGATTGCTCAGCAGTTAAGAGCACCGGGTGTTCTTGCAGAGGACCTGGGTTCGGTGCCCAACACCCACAATTGTTCATTACTCCAGTTCCAGTGTATCTGATGCTCTCTTCTGGTCTCTGCAGGCATTGCACACACATGGTACATATATATGCATAGTGCATATATGTGTATATTCATATGTAAATGTATATATATGTACACAAAACATTCATACACATAAAAATAAATAAATAGAGTATTAAGGTCGGACATGGTAGGACATGCCTACAATCCCAGCACTTGGGAGACAGAGGCAGGAGCTCCCTGAAAACTTGAAGCCAGCCTAGTTTACATACAAGGTTCCAGGCCAGCCTGAGCTACAGAGTAGGACCCTGTTTCAATTAATTAATGGCATATTAGGGATTGGTGATACAGCTTGATGTTAAAGTAAGCACAAAGCTCTAGGTTCAATTGCCAACACTGCACCCAGAAGTTAATAGAGAAAATTACTCCTTGGATCATATTTTAAATTTTTTGTTGTTTTTGAAACAGGATCTTATAAAGTTTCTCAAGCTAGCCTGGAACTCACAATATAGCTCAGGCTGCCTTTGAACTTTCCTTACTCTTTCTTGCCTCTCCCAAATTCTGGGGCTACAGGCATGGCATGCACACTACATTTTTAATTCTGATAAAACTGTGTCCACCTAAAGTTAATTTATAGGGGCTGGAGAGATGGCTCAGCTGTTAAGAGCACTGATTGCTCTTGCACAGGATCTAGGTTTGATTCCCAGCACCCACATGGCAACTTAACAACCATCTGTAACTCTGGTTCCAGGGGAATTTGACACTCTATTCTGACCTCCGAGTACGATGCACGATACAGGTGCACTTATATACATACAGGCAATATACTCATACACATCATCATAAAAGTAAATATTTGAACTTTCCCCTCATACCAGGACCCCAAAGATGGACTTGGGAGATTGGGTGGTCAGTGTATCTCTTTTGTTCCTCTCTCCAATGTTGTCACATTAAGTAAATCTTCTTTTTTTTTTTTTTTTTTTTTTTTTTTTTTTTTTTTTTGGTCTTTTTGAGACAGGGTCTCCCTGTAGCCCCAGCTATCCTGGAACTCACTATGTAGACCAGGCTGGCCTTGAACTCACAAAGATCCACCTGCCCACCTGCCTCTGCCTCCCAAGTGCTGGGATTAAAGGCATGTGCCACCATGCCTGGCACAAGTAAATCTTCTTAAAATAAATAAAATGAAGTTAATTTCTGGCAGGGAGTGGTGGCATACCTATGCAAATCTCAGAAGAGGAGGCAAGATTGTGAGTCCAAGGCCTTCCTGGGCACTTACTAACTCCAGGCCAGCCTGGAATACATGGCTAGACCTTGTCTGAAAGAAAATTAAAAATTAGCATCTTCAAACCAAACCACCATGTCCAAAGAGGGAGCACAGCCCTTGCCTCTAAGACTGCAAAGCATTTCTGGGAACAGATGCTCAAGGAAATTCAACTGTGTTAGCATTTTTCTTAAAATGGTTATTGGTTTGTAGCATTCTATTTTAAAATTGGCCATTTTTTAGAGTTTCAGCAATCTGTCCCTAACTCTGTATCCCTCATAGGTCTTGTTATTTTAGAACACTAGTTTTGTAAAACCCCAAAATTTTCAAGAATGTATGTATAAGGAGACTCAAAATGAGGCCAGGCCTCTCATCCACCAAGCATTTAAAAAAAATTTATTGAATTTTGTGTTTTTCATTCAGAACATCTTAATCATCTTTATAACCCCTTCCCCTTTGGTACCCTCACATAGCCCCCTCAATGGAATTCATACATTTTGTCATTTGTGTTATGGCCTATCAGGTCAAGTTAGTGTCCCCAGATATCTCTCAGTGCAAATTCATCAAGGGTTTTTTTTTTAAGATTTATTTTTGTTTGTGTGTATGTATCTATCACATGTGTGCAGGTGCCCACAGAGGCCAGAAGAGGGTATCAGAAGACCCAGAGCTGAGTTACAGGTGGTTGTGAGACACCTGACCTGGGTGCTGGGAACTGAACTTGGATCTGCTCAAAGCACTCTTATCCACTGAGCCATCTCTCCAGCCCTCAGTAAGCTTTCTTGATAGATCACAAGTTTCCCTAAGAGGAGGCCAGGAGACCTGGTAACCACATCTGAGAGTGGAACAACTTTCTGTGATCTTTTAGGGAAAATTCCCTCCAGATCCTTAATAATTCTTCTCTTCCCTCCTCTCTCCAGACCCCAGACCATGTAGGAGAGACAAGTGGAAAAAAAAAACAACAACCCTGTATTCTGCCCCTTAACGTTTACAATTCCTGAATAAATCATTGAGCATCCAAATGGTTTGGGTTCTGCATTCTTTAAATCGAAATGTGGCATTTAAAAATCAAGGCACTTGGGAAGCAGAAGCAGACAGATCTCTGTGACTTCAAGGCCAGCAAGGTCTACATAGTGAGTTCCAGGTCAGCTAGGGCTACAGGGAGACCATGTCTCAAAAAGACCAAAAATAGGGGCTGGAGAGATGGCTCAGTGATTAAGAGCACTGACTGCTCTTGCAGAGGACTCGGGTTCAATTCCCAGCACCCTCATGGCAGCTACGAACTGTCCTTAACTCCAGTTCCAGGGGAAGCCAATGCCCTCTTCTGACCTCCATGACATTGCATGGCACAGGTGCACTCACATACATGGAGGCAATACACTCATACACATAAAATAAAAATAATAAATAAAAAAAAATTTTTTTGGTCTTTTTGAGACAGGGTCTCCCTGTAGTCCCAGCTGGCCTAGAACTCACTATGTAGACCAGGCTGGCCTTGAACTCACAGAGATCCTGTCTCTGCCTCTTTTAAAAAAACCAAAAATAAATAAATAAAAATCGTGGTGAGGGCCTGGAGAGATGGCTCAGTGGTTAGGAGCACTGGCTGCTGTTGCAGAGGACCCAGGTTCAGGTTCAGTTCCCAGCACTCACATGGTGGTTAACAACCCTCTGTAACTCCAGTTCCAGGGAATCCAATGTCCTCTTCTGACCTCCATGGGCATTGCACAACAGGTGTGTACTTAAATATATGCAGGCAATACATTCATACACATAAAATAAAAATAACAAAGTATCTTTAAAACTCATGGTGAGGATCTGGTTAGATCAGGGGTTAAGAGCTCTTCCAGAGGCCTGGAGTTCAGTTCCCAGCACCCATATCAGATAGCTCACAATTCCCTATACCAGCTCCAGGGGATCAGAAACCTTCTTTGGGTACATGCGCACACATGCACACACACGTGCACACGCAGACACAATTTAAAAATTAAAATACGGGCTAGAGAGACGGCTCAGAGGTTAAGAGCAGTTGTTGCTCTTCTACAGGACCAGGATTCAATTCTTGGCCCCTGCATGGCCAAGAAACTCCAATTCCAGGGGATCCGATGTCCTCTTCTGACTTCTGCTGGCATTGCACACACATCTGCACTTACATGTAGGCAAAACACTTATACACATAAAAATATAACTAGCTAGCTAAATAAATAAATAAATTTTAAAATCTAAAAATGATTTTAAGTGGCAGTGAATTTAAAAAATTGCCTTTGGGTCTTGCTTGGCTATTCATAATTCAGCAATCTTGGACAGTGACTTCACTTCCCTGTGAATCACCTGTAAAATGAGGCTCTTTGTAAAAATGTAATGACACCACTTGCGCAAAGCACTTGGCACAACCCCCTAAACTAAAGCTCATTCATTATGGGAGTCAGGAGGCGCACAAGTTATGACTGGAGAGGTCCCTGAGCTGGTGAAGCAAGGAGATATGGCTGTTACATTCCCAAGGTCAGTAAATGCATCGGCCAGCCTCACCCTCCTAGCTTGGGGACCCACCCTCTGGCTACCTGAAGCCTGTAATTGGGGGTGGGGGGAGCGCGGTGGGGGCGGCTGCTTAAGACAGCGCCGGTTCCCAAGAGCGGACTACATTTCCCGGCATGCACAGTCAGGGCCCCGAGGGCTAGTCCTGCCAACCTTGTCAAAGCCGCTCTACTGTTCCGGGCCTTCACCGCCATTCATTCAGTTCCTATGTTTTGCTTGGCTAAGCTTAGTTCGGTTAACGTCAACCCCAGCCTCAGCGAGTGCCCTCCAGGCTCTTTGGGGAGCATTGGTCTCCTCCATCTCCGGGGAGAGAGTCTGAGGTAGCGTTTATCTGAGGCCGCGAGGCCTGGGAATAACGCGAGTCCTCCCTGCAGGGACTACAACTTCCAGGCGGCACCGCGGCGGCGGCCAGCTACTCGTCACTGGGGCACCGCCGACGGCCCGGGGGAAGCTGCGCGGGCTTGGGGTGGGGGGGGCCGGGACTGGGGGCCGACAGGGAGCCGGCTAAGGAAGATGGGGGCCGCCCGCCCGCCCCTCGCGTGAGGAGGCCGAGGGGCGCGCCACCCCATCCCGGGGCGGCCGCCCCTGGGGCGCCGCTATCCCCACCCGACCTGGAGGTCGTGGCTGGGGATGCGGAGCCGGGGGCTGCCGGTGGAGTTGCGCCGGGTGAGAGGCGCGGGGAGGGGCGGCCGTCTGCTGCCCTCGCCCTCGGCCCCCGCCGGCGGGCCCCGCGCGATCCGGCCCTCTTTGCGCCCTGACATCTGGGCGGACAGGTGAACCTGTCGCCCTTTCTGAACTGCCGAATCCAAGGGGACGGCCCCGTCCTTTGAAAGAGGTTTTTTTGTTTGTTTGTTTTTTTTAATCTTATTTTTCCCCTCGCTCCAGCGGAGGCCCTTCCCCAGCCATGGTCCCCAGGAGCCCTCCAGGGCCTGCAGGGACTGGCCCCCATCCCGGCCTCGGGGCATCGCGCCCAGCATCCCGCGGGCAGCCTGCGTGAAGCGGCCACCCCCCGCAGCCCCCGGCCCCTCCCCCATGGAGGAGGAGGAGGGGGCGGCGGTCAGGGAGTGGGGCACGACCCCCGCGGGGCCAGTGTGGACCGCTGTGTTCGACTACGAGGCGGTGGGCGAGGAGGAGCTGACCCTGAGGAGAGGCGACCGCGTCCAGGTGCTTTCCCAGGACTGTGCGGTGTCCGGCGATGAGGGCTGGTGGACCGGGCAGCTGCCCAGCGGCCGTGTGGGCGTCTTCCCTAGCAACTACGTGGCCCCTGCTGCACCCTCTGCACCCGCGAGCCTCCAGCTGCCCCAGGAGATCCCTTTCCAGGAGCTGCAGCTTGAAGAGATCATCGGTGTGGGGGGCTTTGGCAAGGTCTATCGGGCTCTGTGGCGTGGCGAGGAGGTAGCAGTCAAGGCCGCCCGGCTGGACCCTGAGCGGGACCCAGCAGTGACAGCAGAGCAGGTGCGCCAGGAGGCCCGACTCTTTGGAGCCCTGCAGCACCCCAACATCATTGCCTTGAGGGGCGCCTGCCTGAGCCCCCCAAACCTCTGCCTGGTGATGGAGTATGCTCGGGGAGGTGCACTAAGCAGGGTGCTGGCAGGTCGCCGGGTGCCACCTCATGTGCTGGTCAACTGGGCAGTGCAGGTGGCCCGGGGCATGAACTACCTACACAATGATGCCCCTGTGCCCATCATCCACCGGGACCTCAAGTCCATCAACAGTAAGTGGTACCCTCTCTCCGAAAACTCTCTTCCACTGAAAAACCGCACAAGGCCAAACCTAGGTGGCAGGAAATGGCAAGGGACGCCAGATGTCACTATGTCTGGGCAGGAAGGGGCAGCAGCAGACCTTCAGGACCAGATGAGAGAGGCTGTGACTGTATTAAGGAGAAAGAAGGGCCTCAGAAATGCTGAAGGGTGGACTGTCTCCCAGGCTAAGAGTTGCAATAGCTCAAAAATTGTACATTCGTGAATACTTTAGTATTTCATTTTGTTTTGTTAAATATTTAATTTTATTATTTTTTATTTTATGCACATGAGTGGTTTGCCTGCATGTATGTAAGTGTAAGTCGAGCAATGCATTGGAGGCCAAAAGAGGACATTGGATCCTCTGGAACTGGAGTTACAGACAGTTGTTAGCCACCATGTGGGTGCTGGGAATCGAACCTTGATCCTCTGCAAGAGCAGCCAGTGCTCTTAACAGCTGAGCCAACTCTCCAGCCCTTGTTTTGTTTTGGCCCTCCTGGAACTTGTTATATAGACCAGGCTGGCTTTGAACACACAGAGATCTACCTGTCTTTGCCTCCCAAGTACTGGGATCAAAGGCATGTGCCACCATCCATGAACATTGTGACAGTGTTCCCTGTGCTCCCTGCCACATCCAGAGCCTCATGATGCTCACCATCAGGTTATGGTCCAGAGTTTACGAGGCAGAGAGGAACAGAAGCTAGCTTAGCTCGACCCAGGATTCTCAAGCTTGTCACTGTTGACATTTGTGGTCTGTCATTGATGGGGATACCATCCTGTGCATTTTAGGTTGTTTAGTGGCATCTAAGGCCTCTACCCAAGAGAGGCCACTGGCACTCTGCACCCCTGCTCCCAGCTATAAGAACCAGAAATGACTCCAGACATGGCCTTCAGGGGTGGGGCAACTGGCCCCCAGTCAAAAACTAGAAATCCTGCTGGTCTTACAAGGCTACCTGGGAAAGGAAGGAGTTCCAGATGAACATGGAAGATAAAAAAAGCTGCTGGGCTGCCTGGCCAGTCACAGGCTCTACAAAGTTGATTGGGTGGGTGAATGAATCAGCAACAGGGCTGGGTGGATGGGAGGGGTCCCCAGAAATCATCTTGAGGTAGCAGATACTAATTGAGCCCCTACTAAATTAGGTGCCCGCCAAGGACTCCAGAAATGTAGTTTCTTACCCTGACAGTAAGATGATGAGACATTTCCTTCATTCCAGATTTCCAGAGTGCTGTGTGCTAGATATTCCTAAGGACACAATGGGAAAGCCTTACCACCCAGCTTTCCTGTCCTTGCAGCCCATTTCATGCCCCACCCCCCATTTTTTGTTTTTGTTTGGTTGGCTTTGGGTTTTGTTTTACTAATAGCCCTCACTGTGTAGCCCTAGGTGGCCTGGAGACCAGGCTGACCTCGAACTTGGAGAGATCCTCCTACCTCTGCCTCCCAAATGCTGGGATCAAAGTCATGAGACACACACCCCTTTCATCTTTATTTTTTTAAATAGATGGCCTTGTTCTTATGTTTGGTGTTTACAAGGCCAGATCATGTGCTAAACAAAAGAGATCCACAGCAAAGGAGGGTAGCATGTTCCCTACCCTCGAATGGGTCACACTCAAGCCCAGTCCATGAAAATTCCCCCTCTGCCCTCGAGGCTCACCTCTGTTCAATTCCTTTATTCCCATCAGTTTATATTTTAACAGTTTTTGAACCCATCCAACTATTTTTGTAAGCCTATTGCCATGTTACCAACTACAGCCTTTAGCCCATAGAAGAGAGGGGCTGAGTGGTCCTCATCTTCCATGCTTGGCACTCATACACTGGACAGAGAGAACCACCAAGTGCCCATGACCTGCCTAGGCTCTGCCCAGTTTGCGAAATAGATGCAGGTGGTCCTTGCCTGCTTGGACACCCACTCTGGCTCCTCAAACACACTGGGTAGGTGGAGGCAGGACCACCAGGATGCTCCTCTTCAAAGCTGGGGCTCCTTGGTCCTTCTTCACCCCAGGTGGTTCATAGCACATACCTAACCCAACCTGGACAAGGTGGGCAGGCTCTCAAGGCCAGGGCTTCCTTCAGGGGCAGTGATGGACTCAGGTTTCTGCAGTACAGTTGCCCTGCCCACCCCTCCCCACATTCCTCATCAGATGCCATTGTTCTTTACTTCAATAATTCTTCAGTTTACTTGAGTTTTTTAGATTTTATTATTACTGGGGAAGGGGGCATGTGCATCACAGTGAATATCTGATCAGAGGACAACCTGTGGGAGTCACTTCTCTCCTTCCACCATGTCGGTCCTAGAGGTTGAGCTCCAGTCACCAAACTTGATGGCAAGCACCTTTATCTGCTCAACCTCTTGCCGGCTCCCTCTTTGGGTTTTAATGTTTAGTTTCATTTTTTATTTTATGTGTGAGTATTGCGTGCATGTATGTAAGTGCACCGGTGTCTTGCTGTCCTGCAGAGGTCAGAAGGAGCTGTCGGATCCCCTGGAACTGGAGTTAGGATGGTAGTTAACCACCATGTAGATGCTGGGAACCGAATCCAGGTCCACTGCAAGAGCAGGCAGTGCTCTTAACTGCTGAGCTATCTCTCCAGTTCCTGGTCTGTTTCAAGGCTGACTTTGAACTTGCAAACCTGCTGCCTCAGCCTCCCTTTTTTTGGTCTTTTTCAGACGGTCTCCCTGTAGCCTCAGCTGTCCTGGAACTCACTGTGTAGACCAGGCTGGCCTTGAACTCACGGAGATCTGCCTGAATCTGCTTCCCAAGTGCTGAGATTAAAGGCATGTGCCACCACACCCGGCCCAGTTATTCTTTTTAAGATATTTTATTTATTATTTTTATTTCATGTGTATGAGTGTTATGCCTGCATGTAGGTAAATGCACCTGTGACGTGCAATACCTGAGGAGGACAGAAGAGGATGTCAGATCCCCTGGAACTGTAGTTACAGACAGTTGTTAGCTGCCATGTGGGTACTGGGATTCGAACTTGTGTCTTCTGCAAGAACAGTCAGTGTTCTTAACTGCTGAGCCATCTCTCCAGCCCCTTGATTCAGTTATTCTTAAGCATATACTTTAGGAATATAGAAGAGAATAAAAACAGCTGGGTGTGGTGGCTCATGCTTGTAATCTCAGCACTCTGGAAGCTGAGACAAGTGAATGATTTTGAGTTTGAGGCCAGCATAGTGAATTCCAGGCCGGGGCTCACCTGGGCTACAGTGTTGGACCCTGTCTTGGAAAAAATGGGGGCGGAGGTAGAGAGATGGCTTAGTGGTTGAGAGTGCTTGCTACACTTTCAGAGGACCTCAGTTTGTTTCCCAGCACCCATGTCAGGCAGCTCACAACCACTTGTAACTTCAGCTGCAGGGGATCCAATGCCTTTGGCCCCTGCTGGCACCTGCACTCACATGCACATACCCCCAAACAGATACACATGCATACACATAATTAAAAATAATAAAAAGAAATCCAGCACTGGCATGATGACTCAGGGAGTAAAGGCACTTGCCCCCAAGATTGGGGATCTGAATTTGATCTCTGGGACCCAAATGAGTGGAAACATACATGCACATGTGTGTACATGCACACGCAAAGATAAGTATATTAAAAACTCCAAAAAAAGTAAAAAGGAGAGAGAGAGGAGACCCCCCCCCCAATATTCTAGTAGACAGGAATAGATACTGGGTGACAGATACGTAGATGTCTACATAGGATCCATCTATAGATAGGTATAAGGAAAGAAGACAGGTAGGTAGATACCAGACTTTCAGAAAGCACTAGGGTGCTCGAGAGGTGGCTCAGAGGTTAAGAGCACTGACTGCTCTTGCAGAGGACCCGGGTTTGGTTCCCAGCACCCACAACTGGAGTTCCAGGGGATCTAATGCCCTCTTATGGCTTCTGTGGGCATTGCACACACATGGAGCACTTACATATATGCAGGCAGAACACTCATAAAATAAAAAATTTTAGCTGGGAGTGGTGGTACACGCCTTTGATCCCAGCACTCGAGAGGCAGAGGCAGGTGGATCTCTGTGAGTTCAAGGCCAGCCTGGTCTACATAGTGAGTTCCAGGACAGCTGGGGCTATAGGGAGACCCTGTCTCAAAAAGACCAAAAAAAAAATTAAAAAATTTTAAATGTGGGACTGGAGAGATGGCTCAGTGGTTAAGAGCACTGGCTGTTCTAGCAGAAGACTCAGGTTCATAATCCCAGCACTCACATGGCGGCTAACAGCTATCAGTAACTCCAGGTCCAGGGGATCTGATACCCTCTTCTGACCTCCATGGGCATTGCACGACATGGGTACACTTACCTACATGCAGGCATAACACTCATATACATTAAATAAAAATAAATAAAAACATTAAAAAATTTAAATGTTGGGGTTGGGAATTTAGCTCGGTGGTAGAGTGCTTGCCTAGCAAGCACAAGGCCCTGGGTTCGGTCCTCAGCTCCAGGAAAAAAAAAAAACAACCCAAAATTTAAATGTTATTTAAGAAAAAAAGTGCCAGAGACTATTGGGAAAACATGGCAGATTAAGGGTGAGGTTGAAGGAACTCTTTAGATTTGGTGATCAAGAAAGGCAACATTTGGGTAAAAAACCAAAAGGACCTAGCCTTACAAAGCTCCGGGGAACAGAGGAAGAACAGGGTGAAGGCGAGGTGGGAAGCAGTGTGCTCAGTGCGGAAATAGTTCGACCATCGGAGCAGGCCACATGCCTAGAATCCCAGCACTAGAGGTCCTGAAGCAGGAGGATTGCTGCGAGTGTGAATGAGGGCAGCTCACCACAGTGGGAGACCCTGTCTCAAAACAAACAAACTGGAAACACACTGTAGGAGTCCAGGCAGAAGTGCAATCTGAGAGGTGGGGCAGGGCCAGACCACAGGGGATGCCAAATGTTTTACTGGATGTTGTGAAAACCACTGAAGGGCTTTTTGTTGTTTTGGGCTTTTTTTTGGGGGGGGGGCGTTGGTTTATTTTTGGTCTTTTTGAGACAGGGTCTCTTTGTACCTGCAGCCCCAACTGGCCTGGAACTCACAGAGATCCACCTGCCTCTGCCTCCTAAGTGCTGGGATTAAAGGTGCATACCATCACACCTGGCTAAACATGGATTTTTAAAGAAAGATTTATGTTTATGTGTATGAGTGTTTTGCCTGATGTATGTATGAACACCACACATGTGCATAGGGCTTGTGGAGGCCAGAAGACAGTATTAGATCCCCTGAAACTGGAGTTACAGACAAATGTGGGCTGCCTTGTAGGTGCTGGGAATTGAACCCAGGTCCTCTAAAAGAACAGTCAGTGCTCATAACCACTAAGCCATTTCTCCAGCCCCCAAACATAGATTTCCTTTAAATCTTTTTGAAACAGGGTCCCCCTGTAGCCCCAATTGGTCTCAAACTTGATGTGTAGACCAGGTTGGCCTTGTTTTTACCTGCTCTGCCTCTGCTGGGCGTGTTTGAAGCCCAGCTTTCAAACAGATTTTTAAAAAATAGGGCTGATTTAAGCCTATTCTGGAGAAGCAGAAAGAAACAACGGGTAAGACCAGGAGGTGTACTTCTTTCCCAGGGTTCCTACACAATGAGACAGGAGGGCCCAAGAAGAGAGGATGTTTGGGAAGTTGAGAGTAACAGATTGGGAAGTCATGGGATTTCAGAAAGAGGTGGCCCCGAAGGCAGCCTGTGAAGGATGGACAGGATGACCAGTTGTGTGACTGGGCAGTTTGTTGATGTCTCTAACCCTCTGTTTCTTCGTCTGTTAAATGGGTATATCAGGAAATTACCAGGTTATTATAGTCCTGACTGGGGGCAGTAGCCAGAAATGGTAAAAGATAAAGGGCATTTTGACCTCATCCCACATTAATAACAGCTGGCACTTTCACAGGACTTAATAGTTCAGGCAATCAAGTCTTACTCCATAATGCTGGAAGATAGGGACCGTCATCATCCTTAACAGGAGAAATCTTAGTGTGAAGAGGATGATGTGACTTATGACAAGATACGTGACTAGTAAGTGGTGGAACAGAGATTCCAAAAAAATAAATGCACTGTGCTCTAAGAGAAAGCATAAAATCAGGCAGGGGGCGGGATATGGCTAGAGAGATAGCTCAGTGGTTAAGAGTGCTTTGCTACTCTTCCAGAGGACCTGGGTTCCATTCCCAGCACCCACTTAGCAGCTTACAACCATCTGTAACTCCAGTTCCAGGGAATCTGACACCATCTTCCTCTGGCCTCCATGCAGGCCAGGCATACATGTGATACAGATACATGCATGCAGGCAAATACACACATACAAATTAAAAACTTTTGAAAAATATATCAGCTGGACGTGGTGGCACGCACCTTTAACCCTAGCATTCAGGAGGTAGAGGCAGGTGGATCTCTGTGATTGAGGCCAGCCTAGTCTATATAATGAGTTCCAGGCCAGCTAGGGCTATAGGGAAACCTTTTCTCAATATAATCAAACAACCAAACAAAAACATCAGGGGGCTGGAGAGATGACTCAGTAGTTAAGAGTGCTTGCTGCTCTTCCAGAGGACCTGAGTTCAATTTCCAGCACCCATGTCAGGCAACTCACAACCACCTGTAACTCCAGTTCCAGAGGATCCCATACCCTCTTCTGGCCTCCTTGGGGACACACAAACATACACACAGAGCATATACTATCGCAACACTTAAGACATTGGGTGAGGTTGACAAAGCTAATTCATGTCTCTACTGCCAGTTTTTAAACAGTCATATGCTTTTAGCCAAGTGACTGTTCAGAGGCTTAGTTTGCTAGACAGTGAAAATGGGTTGCTTATGAATCCATTCTTAGAAAGGACTTAGGCCAGTGTAGACATCTGCCACAGCTGCTATCATTGTTAACCACAGCCCAAGGCCACAGGTCAGCTGGGACCATTCAGTATGCAGGGATGTATCAGTCAAACTTGATCACAGTGATGCTGCATAACAAACCACCTCAAAGACTCCGTGTGAACACAGCTTCTTGGTAACGTCTGTGCTCTTGCTGAACAGCCAGAGGGAGGGCAAAAGATACAGCTGGGCTTAGCTGGAGGGGTTCTGCTCCAAGTCCCTCCCATGTCCCTTGGACTGGCAGGTTGTCATGGTGGGGGTAGAAGTTCCAGAGGGCAAGTTCACTCCAGAGGATTCTTACAGCTTAGGTTTGGAACCGGCCAGTAATCATGTCTGCTTCATTCTTTGTTTTGTTTTGTTTTGTTTTGTTTTGTTTTGAGACAGTGTCTTGCTATGTAGCCCAGGTTGGTCTCTAACATATTATCTTCCTGCCCTGAGCTCCCAAGTGCTGAGACTATAGGCATGTGCCACCATGCATTCTTACAGCTTAGGTTTGGAACCGGCCAGTAATCATGTCTGCTTCATTCTTTGTTTTGTTTTGTTTTGTTTTGTTTTGAGACAGTGTCTTGCTATGTAGCCCAGGTTGGTCTCTAACATATTATCTTCCTGCCCTGAGCTCCCAAGTGCTGAGACTATAGGCATGTGCCACCATGCCCAGCTATGTCTGCCTCCCCCCTTCCCTTTTAAAATTTATTTATGTGTATATGTGAGTATGCATGTATTATGTGCACCATGTGCACACAGTGCCTATGGAAGGCAAAAGAAGGCATCGGATCCCCTGGAACTGGAGTTACAGGTGGTTGTGAGTCTCAGTATGGGGGCTGAGAGTCAAACCTAGTTCCTCTGCAGGAGTGGAAGGGCTATTAGCTCTTAATCACTGGGCTATCTCTCTAACCCCCTACTTTTATTTTTTAAATGATGTGTGTATGTGTATCTGTGTGGGTATGTGCACATGCATGAAGATACCTTTGGAGGCCAGAGAGGCCATCAGATCACCTAGAGCTGGAACTGTAGGTGGTTGTGAGTTGTCTGACTTGAGTGCTTGGAGCTGAACTCAGGTCATCTACCAGAACAGCAAGCACTTTTAACTGAGCCATCTCTTCAGCCCCAAGATTTATTTATTTTTGTAAATACGTACATATGTGTGTATGCACATGTAAGTGCAGTGCCCATGGAGTCCAGAAGCAGGCATCTGGTCACCTGGAGTTGGAGTTACAGGTGGTGGTGAGCAGCAGTATGGGTGTTGGGAACCTAACTGCTGAGCTACCTCTCCAGCCCCTCTCTCCTTGGCCAACATAAGTAGTATGAACACCCAGAGTTAAAATGTGGGGCAGTACATTCTGCCTGGTTAGTGGAAAAAGCTGCAGAGTCACATGGCAGAGTGAAGACAACAGGAGGGGTGACAGGCTGTGGCTGCCAAAGCTGAGGGGCAGCAGGGACAAAGGAAAAACCACATTCTTCCCTTCTGGGTGTTATCTGTAAGGCCCACTTCTGGGCTGGTCAAGGCTGGGCAGAGCCAGCCAGGCCCTTGGCCATTGGTTCTTGACCACTCATGAGCTCCCCAGAGCACAGGTCAGAGTTGGGAGGCAGAGGACCCACGGGAAGCTCCCGCCCAGTCAGGAAGCCTGGGACAGGGATTAGAAGAGGCACCCCCGTGTCGAGCGTGGATGTCCAGGGCAGGAGGGAGTGGTGCAGAGTGGGGTCTCCAGAGGTAGTGAGGGGACAGAGGAAGGCAGACGGCGGGTCGCTGAGGCCTGCAGCCTGGCTGCTCTTAGTGACAGACTTTTCTTCCTGCCCCCAGTCCTAATCCTGGAAGCCATTGAGAATCACAACCTTGCTGACACGGTGCTCAAGATCACAGACTTCGGCCTCGCCCGCGAATGGCACAAAACGACCAAAATGAGCGCCGCGGGGACATACGCCTGGATGGCTCCCGAGGTCATCCGCCTCTCCCTCTTCTCCAAAAGCAGCGACGTCTGGAGGTGCTGAGAGGCAGGCTGGGGCGACCTTGGGAAGTGGGGGAGGGAGAACAGGGTGTGGATGGGAGGGACATCTGTGGGGGACCAGCTCCCAAACAGTGAAATGCTATGGGGGCCAAGGCAGGTGGGGAGGAAAGATTTACACCAGAATTAAAAAAAAAAATTAAAAAGACACAGAGATAGTTGCAGATGTAAACACAGATGATGTTCACACACCGTCCCCACCCAGCCACCGCTGAAGCTGAGCTTTGAGGGCCTGGAGGACACCATTCCAGCATTCTTTCCTTCATCTAGCTGCACAGAGGCCTAGGGGTTCAGTAGCCAGCAAAAACCAAGATGGCCCTGCCTGGTGACACAGGTCTGTTACCCATCTACTCCGGAGGCTGAGGGAGGAGGTTCACAAGTTCAAGGCCAGCCTGGGCAACTTAGTGAGACTTGCTTCAAAAAAAAATAAACAGTGTTGAGTGCTCAGTGGTAGAGCACTTGCCTAGACTCCTTCAGAGAGGACTGGGGATGTGGCTTAGTGGTAGAACACTCAACCTAGTATCTACCAGTGAGAGGTTGGGGGCGTGGCTTAATGGTTAAGCACTTGCCTAGAATCCTCCAGTGAGAGGCTGGGGGTGTGGTTCATTGATAGAGCACCTGCCTAGAATCTCCCAGTGAGGGGTTAGGGACGTGGCTCAGTGGTAAAGCACCTGAATTTGAGGCTAGCCTGGTATACATACATAAGAGTACCAGGCTAGGGGCTGGAAAGATAGTGCAGTGGTTAAGAACACTGACTATTCTTGCAAAGACCCGGGTTTGAATCCCAGCACCCACATGGCAGCTAACAACTGTCCGTAACTCCAGTTCCAGGGGATCCGACAGTCTCTTCTGTCCTCCTCAGGCATTCCATGACACGGGTGCACTTCCTACATGCAGGCAATACATGTATACACATAAAATAAAAATAATAAATAAAATATTTTAAAAAAAAGTACCAGGCTAGCCAAACCCTATCTCAAAAACAAGGGGGGAAAAAAGGAAAGCTTTTTTTTTAGTTAAGAAAACTGTAAAATAGGAGGTAGATAACTCAGCCAGTAAAGTGTTTGTTATGCAAACATGAGGACCTGAGTTCAACTCCAGAACCCAGAAAAAAGCCAGGTGTGGCGCCTGCTTGTAACCACAGCCTTGGGGAGGCAGAGATAGATGAATCCCTGGGGCTCACTGGCCAGCCATCCTAGACTAACTAGTGAGCTTCAAGTCCCAGTGAGAGACCTGCCTCAAAAACCAAAACAGGGTGAGTGGCTCCTGAGAATGACAGCTGAGTTTCCTTGTGACCTCCACATGCGCACACACGTGCATGTACAGACACACACACACACACACATGAACAGGCACACGTACATATAACACACACAAAACAAAATTTTAAAAATACTCTTTTTGCCAGGGATGGTGGCGCACGCCTTTAATCCCAGCACTTGGGAGGCAGAGGCAGGTGGATCTTTGTGAGTTTGAGGCCAGCCTGGACTACATAGCGAGTTCCAGGACAGCTGGGGCTACAAGGAGACCCTGTCTCAAGACAAAAAAAATATGTATATGTATGGTACATACATTATGTGTATGAATATATTGCCTGCATGGATGTAAGTGCACCCATGTCATGCAATGCCTGCAGAGGTCAGAAGAGGGTGTTGGATCCCCTGGAACTGGACTTATGGACAGTTTTTAGCTGCCATGTGGGTTCTGGGAATCAAACCTAGGTTCTCTGCAATAGTAGCCAGTGCTCTTAACTGCTGAGCCGTCTCTCCAGCCCCCAAAACAAAGTTTTAAAGAAATTTGTGAAATAGTTTTAAGCATCAGGAAAGGATTAGACTGTATGAAGAGCTGGGGAGCACTTCCCAGAAGGCTTGTCTGAGAAATGATATGTGAGGACCAGATACCCGTGTCTTTCAGCCCTCCTAACATCAGTAACCCTCCTCAGTGTGACAATCAAAGCATCCCTGCAGGTTGCTGGGGACACGGGAGTGGTGGGAACCATGCTGCCTCCTGGTAAAAACAACAAAAACCCTCCCAGGTTTCTTCCTTCACATTGGGTGGTCTCCATTCCAAGGTTCATGTCATGATCCAGAATGACTGCTTGAACTCCAGCTTTGATGGCCACATTCCAGCCAATGAGAAGGAGGGTAAAAAGGGCAGCCCTCGTCTCTAAGGACCCTTCCTTGAAGCTGCTGCCCACTACATACCCTCTTTCACCCCAATGGCCAGAAACATAGTCCCATGGGCATACTCAGCTGCAAAGGAAGATGGCATCTTCATGGAATATATGCCCAGCTCAGATCATCAGCACTGGCTGAGCTCGGTGATCCCAGCACTTGGGAAGCAGAGGTCAATGGATCTCTGTGAGTTTGAGACCAGCCTGGTCTGCATAGCAAGTTCCAGGCCAGCCAGGGCTTCACAGTGAGACCCTGTCTAGAAAAAAGTCAGCAGTAGGGGGCTAGAGAGATGGCTCAGCAGTTAAGAGCACTGACTATGCTTGCAGAGGACCCGGGTTCGATTCCCAGGTTCGGACCCACATGGCAGCTACGAACCATCCTTAGCTCCAGTTCCAGGGAAATCTGAAGCTCTCTTATGACCTCCGTGGCATTGCACAACACAGGTGTACTCACATACATGCAGGCAATACACTCACACACATAAAATAAAAATAATAAATATTTTTTTAAAAAATCAGCAGTAGACCAGGCGTAGTGGTGCATGCCTTTAATCCCAGCACTTGGGAGGCAGAGAGAGGCAGGTGGATCTCTAAGTTCAAGGCCAGCCTGGTCTACATAGCGAGTTCCAGGCCAGCTGAGGCTACAGGGAGACCCTGCCTCAAAAAAAAAAACAAAAACAAAAACAAAAAAATGTCAGCAGTACTGCCCCTGCTAATGAAGGGAGGTGGTTAGCTGCATAAAGACAGTGGTTAGGGTTATTTCATTCTAGTGCCTAGAGCAGTGCAGAGCACACAATTGGAGCCTAATAGAAGATGCTGCATTGATGCACGAGTGGCTACTGGGAGAGAACAGGGACCCAATGCATATTAGAAACTGCACAGCATGGTGATCAGGATCCAGAGGGATGCACAGGTCAGTGGAGAAGGTGGACACTCAGGGGCGCATGCTCAGATACTGTATAGCCATGAAGGGCGGTGCCATGGGCATCAGACAGACCTGGGTCTAAGTGTGGCTCTACCATAGCACTTAGTAGCTGTGTGATTTGGGGCAAACTGTCTAAGAGGGGGTCTTACTAATACTGTCTGCCTTATAGTTCTGTTGTGTTATCAAGAGTGCCTAGCACAGTGCCTGACCTGGAATAAGTACTTTATACATGTAACTAGTACTAGCTTGTTTTTAGAGGAAAGTGCTGTGGAAACATAAATAAGGGGACTGTGGAAACAGTAGGGTCAAAGAAGGCTTCCTGGCAGAGGGGCGACCTGAGTTGAGACTTGGACATATAGTTATAGTACACAAAGGGAAGAATGTTTCTGACAAAGGCACAGCATGTACGAGGGCCAGAGGTTTGGAAGAGCAGGTCTGATTCAACTGTTAAGTACAGGATTGAAGTGGGAGGTAAAAGTGTTTAGGGGCAACAAGGGTCATCGAAGGTCAGTGCTAAGAAGGATGTATTTGCCAGGCATGGTTGCACACACCTGTAATCTTGATATACAGGAGGATCATGAGTTTGGGAACAACCTGGGCTATATAGTGGAGCTCCCAACCAGCCTGGGCTACATTGAGACCATGTTGAAAATAAAAGAAGCTATAGCTGTAGCTCAGTGGTTAAGCACTTCCCTAGTATACATGAGGCTCTAGGTTCAGTTCCCAGTACTTCAACAACAACGTCTGAGCTCAGGGCCCATGAGATGGCTCAGCAGGTGAAGATGCTTCCTGTCAAGCTGACAACCTGAGTTAGAGTCCTAAGACCCACATGATGGAAGGACAGAGCCCACTCCTACAAGCTGACCTCCACCCAGATGCCATAATGTACACACACACACACACACACACACACACACACACACACATTTTTAAAAATTAATGAAAGCCAGGTGTGGTGGCACACGTCCTTAATACCAGCACTCAGGAGGCAGGGGCAGGCAGATCTCTGAAACAGAGATCAATCTGGTCTATATAACAAGTTTCAGGACAGCTGGGACTGCAGGGAGACCCTATCTCAAAAAGACACCCCCCTCCAAAAAAATTAATGAAATAGGGGCTGATGAGGTGGTTAAGAGCAGTCCGAAGTTAACAGCACTTGCTGCTCTTGCAGAGAACCTGAGTTTGACTCCCAACACCCATGTTAAGGTGCTCACATGCACCTGTAGCTCCAGCTTCAGGGGCTCTGACACCCCTTTCTGTCCTCTAAGGGACCTGCACACACATGGCATACACTCAGACACATAGAAATAATTTTAGAGACTTTTAAATTAATGAAATAATAAAGACGCACTTCATTTAAAAAAAGGGGGGGGGCTAGATTTTCCCAATAGGCTTTGGGTCCCACTGTGTTTTCACACAGCGGTGAGAAAGGGAGACAAAGGAGAGGGAGACGTTAAGAGCGAACCCATCCATCATTTGAAGAACAGGCCAGCGAAGGTCAAATCAGGCTCTTGGGGCCTCATCTACTAGTCTGGAAATAGGGGTGAGGGATGGCCCCCTGGGCCCAGGGGCAGGGCTGGGTGTGAGGATTAGGGTGGGCTGCAGCATCACCCCTCCCTCTCACCCATCTGCAGCTTTGGGGTGCTGCTGTGGGAGCTGCTGACCGGGGAGGTCCCCTACCGTGAAATCGACGCCTTGGCTGTGGCATACGGTGTGGCTATGAACAAGCTGACGCTGCCCATCCCTTCCACGTGCCCCGAGCCCTTTGCCCGCCTACTGGAGGGTGAGCCAGGGCCCTATGGAGAGGGTAGGCTCAGCTTGGGGCAGGGTCCCATGGGCCACACCTCTCCCTTTCCCACCATCTGTGTATTCCATTGAGCCTAGAAGTTGGGGAGAAGGCTCTGGAATCTAGGGGCCTGGGAACATCAGCCCTATTGTTGCCTCTGTGGCTCCCCAGAGCTCCTGAGTGCAGCTGGCCTTAGGGTTCCTGCCTGACCCTGGATCCCTCTGAGCAAGTGCCTGGGTTCCTTCCTAGAGTTTCCCTGTGGCGTGCTGCCAGGAGCTTAGCCTGAGCCCTTCCTATTGTGTCCATGAAAGCTGCTCACCCACAGTGCCCAGAAGACCTGCTTGCTTACCCGCAGCACTAACCCCTACACTCACCACCTCCCATCCAGAATGCTGGGACCCTGACCCACATGGGAGGCCAGATTTTGGCAGCATCCTGAAGCAGCTGGAGGTCATCGAGCAGTCAGCCCTGTTCCAGATGCCGCTGGAGTCCTTCCACTCGCTCCAGGAAGACTGGAAGCTGGAGATTCAGCACATGTTTGATGACCTGCGAACCAAGGAGAAGGTGAAGGGAGGGGACCAGAAGGGGTGGAGCAGGAGCCTGGCTCTTGATGCCTTGGGTACCCAGAGGCCCTGACCCTAAATCCAGGCCTTTGCAGGTCCATGCAGGAAGTTTTTGCATGGTAAGAAAAAACAGCTTCCTGTTGGTGAATAAGAAAAAGGCTCCTTGTACTGAAGTACTTACAGGTGATCGTGCATGATGCCTGGGATTGGCTTTAAAATCCTAGCCAAAAAAAAAAAAAAAAAACAAAAAACCCTTGGAATAGGCTTGCAAAGTGTCAGTGTCTGTTACAGTGGGATGATGTGAGTTGGGGTGTGCTGTTTTCTGCTTTTGTGGGGCTTCAAAGTTTCCCGTTACTCTGCTTCTGTGGATGTTTATTTACCAAAGCACAATTTACTTACCTAGCACTCTGGAGGTGGAAGCAGAAGGATCCAAAGTTCAAGGGCATCCAACAATTTGTAGTGAGTCAAAGGCTAGCCTGGGCCAGATGAGACCCTGTCTCAAGAAACAAACAAAAAATGAAAGTGAATTAAAGAAAAGACACCCCCCCCCCTTGGAGCCAAGTCATCCTCCTGCTGACAGCATTGCTATTAAAGTCTGAATTAGATTTTGAACCCCGGGTGTCCTGGGACGGCAGGTAGGCCCAGTACTGAGCCCTGCCCCAGCCTGGCCTCCCATCCCCCAGGAGCTGCGTAGCCGTGAGGAGGAGCTGCTGCGGGCAGCACAGGAGCAGCGGTTCCAAGAGGAGCAGCTGCGGCGGCGGGAACAGGAGCTGGCTGAGCGCGAGATGGACATCGTGGAACGTGAGCTGCACCTGCTCATGTGTCAACTGAGCCAGGAGAAGCCCAGGGTCCGCAAACGCAAGGGAAACTTCAAGCGCAGCCGCCTGCTCAAGCTGCGGGAAGGCGGCAGTCACATCAGTCTGCCCTCTGGTACCACCCGGTCCCCTAAGTGACCCCCGAGAGGTGGCGGGGGCTCCACCCAGGGTTGCTAGATTCCTTTTAACAACTCTATGCACGTAGGCATCACTGGTGCTAGGCAAGTTTACTCTGCCATCCTTAGCACCTTTAAAACTTTGTTTTAAAATATATTGCATATAAAAAATGACCAAAAAGCTGGGTGTGGTGGCTCACACCTGCCATCTGATGCTCTGGAAACTGAGGCAGGAGTTCAAGCCAGTCTGACTTACATAGACAGTTCCAGGCCAACCTGGGTACAGGTTGAGACTGTCTCAAAAAACAAAAAGATTGCTTCTCAGCTTCCTCTGATGTCAGCTACCTGACATACAGTGGATCTCTATGAGGTTAGAAACCACAGAGCCAGGCCAGCCACAGGACCAGCTGATGGAACTATAGCTACATGCATAACATTATACATTCTGAGCCTGGCGTGGTGGTTCACGCCTTTAATCAGCACTCAGGAAGCAGAGGCAGGTGGATCTCTATGAGTTCAAGGCCAGCCTGGTCTACATAGTGAATTCCAGGACAGCTGGGGCTACAGAGAGACCCTGTCTCAAAAAGACCAAGAAAAAAATAAATAAATAAACACACACACATATTTTGGCAGCCACATTTAAAAGGTAAAAAGAAGCCAGGAGTGGTGGGGCAAGACTGATCCCATCGGGTGAGGTGGAGACAAGAGGATCAGAAGTTCAAGGTCAGTCTCAAAACAACAACAACAAAAAGCTATGGAACAGTTAGCTGTTAACTGTTTTATTTAGCCCACTATATGTATGCAAGCAGTACCAAAGAATAATGAGCTTTTACCTTCTCTTTTTCACACTGAATCATTGAAATCCAGTGTGTTCTATATTTATAGCACATCTCAATCTGGGTGCTAAATTTCTATCAGAAATATTTGATCTAGGTCAGGCATGATGTGCCCCCACCTACAGTTCCTATAACACTGGGGAGACAGAGGCAGGAGAATCTGTTTGAGGAAAGCCTGGGTTATATGGGACAGTTTAGGGTTAGTCTGAGCTACACAATGAGATCTCTTCTTTAAAAAAAAAAAAAAAAAAAAAAGGGCAGGGGGTGTGGCTCAGTGGTACAGCACCTGCCTAGAATCCTCCAGTTAGGGCCTGGGGGTGTGGTTCAGTGCTAAAGTGCTTGCCTAACCTCCTAATGTGCAGAACATCCCCAGCATCCCCACAAAATTAATCCAGGGGCCTGGGCATGTAGCTGAATGGTTGAGTGCTTGCTTTGCATAGAAGAGGTTTGACCCCTAACACTGCAAATTTTAAGTATTTTGGGGCTGGAGAGGTGACTCAGCAGTTGAGAGCACTGGCTGCTCTTAACAGAGGACCCGGGTTCGATTCCCAGCACCCACATGGCAGCTAACAACTGTCAGTAACTCCAGTTCCAGGGGATCTGATACCTTCCTCTGATCTCTGCAGGCATTGCATGGCATGGGTGAACTTACACATATGCAGGCAATACACTTATGCACATAAAATAAAAAAAAGATATTTTTAAAAATAGGTATTTGTAATCTATACTGAGATTTCTTTTTTTTTTTTTTTATCCTTTTAAGACAGGGTCTCCCTGTAGCCCCAGTTGGCCTGGAACTTGCTATATAGACCAATAGACCAGGCTAGCCTCGAACTCAAAGAGACCTGCCTGCCTCTGCCTCTGCCTCCCCAGTGCTGGGACTAAAGGCATGCACCACCATGCCCAGCTCTAGATTTCATAAAATTTAAAGTAGAAAAAGTATTCACTTGTCCACTTGTTCCAAACATGCTTTAATGCGTCCAATAACCAAATGAAGTGTCTGCCTTAAATTTTAACCAGATCACAATTAAGTAAAGATGAAATTCCACTTCCTTGGTTGCCCAAGCACATGTCAAGTGCTCCATAGTCGCACAGGGCTCACTTGCCACCGTGGTGGACCCTCAAGCAGAGACTTTGGACCTCACTCCCTAAATGTATTAGGAAGGGCCCAAGAATTTCCATTTCCAAGAGAACTGCAGTTGATGTGCATGCTGGTGGGCCTGGGGACCACACTGGAGGGTTGCCAAGGAAACAGTGGCAAGTGCTCCATCCCCACAGTCATTCCCTCTACTTTGTTTACTGTGGCACCTTTCCTTAGGAAAACCTCTTCCTTCTTGCAGGCTTTGAACATAAGATCACGGTCCAGGCCTCTCCAACTCTGGACAAGCGGAAAGGATCGGATGGGGCCAGCCCCCCTGCCAGCCCCAGCATCATCCCCCGGCTGAGGGCTATTCGCTGTGAGTATACACAGGGCCTTTGCAGTCAGTCAGTCAGCAAACCCATAGAGCACATTCCTGGCTTCCTGATTCTCATCAGGGGCAACAAATAACAAGCCAATAAGTAGGGTTGTTTCCAGTAGCGAGCAAGAAAGACCATGAAAGATAGGATCCTGGGTCTGGGTATAGATCAGCAGTACAGCCAGTGCTTAGCATGTGTGAGGCCTTGGAGTCCATCCCCAGCACAAAAAGAGAGGGTGGGGTATATTAGGCTTCTCCAGAGAGGTCAAGTCAGTAGGGTATCCAGCCCTACCATAAGAGGGTTTGGCTCACAGGATTATAGACTCTGGGATACACAGCCACCATCTATAGGCAGGAGGCCCAGGGAAGCTGGAGCTGTACTTCCTAAATTCAAAGCCCTGAGACGACGGCGGTTGCAGGTCAAGTGTCAAGTGAGCCTGTGCCTTTGTGTTCTGTCCAGGCCAGGGGTGGACTGATGACCCACTCTCATGGAGGAAGGTGGATCTTTTACCCTTCTGCCATTCAAATGTGTATCTGTCCCAGAGCCACTCTCTCAGACACACCTAGAAATAAGGGTGCAGCAGGTCTCTGGGCACACCTTAGGCCCAGCAAGCTGACATCAAAGACTGCTGTCTCAGAGCTGGAAGGTACCTCTGAGGAGATGAGGTCTAAACAGCACCTAGTGGTAAGAAGGAATGAGACCGTCCCAGCTCCCAGAACAGTGCAGAGGGACAGTGTCTCTCCCGAAGAGGAAACAGCCAGGGCAGAAAGCTGGGAGGGAGGGCAGCAGGCTGGGAGGGAGGGCAGCATGTTTTCCAACCCAGAGGCCAACTTGGCTAAAGCAAAGATGGGGGTGTGGGGAGGTGGGTGTTTGGAATATTCTGTGGTAAAGGGCCAACAGGGGCCACAACACCGACACACAGGGTCTTTAGACCCAGGTAAGGAATCTGGACTCCTTTTTGAAAATCTTTTTGGTTTGGTTTGGTGATTGATTTTGTTTAGGGGGAGGGTGTTTTATTTTGTTTCATTTTGTTTTGAGACAGGGTCTCCCTGTAGCCCCAGTTGACCTGGAACTCATTATATAGACCAGGCTAGCCTCCATCTCATGTAGACTTCCTCAGCCTCCTAAGTACAGGGATCAAAGGTGTGTGCCCTGACACTTGGCTGTTTTATTTTTTGAGACAAGGTCTCACTATCTAGCCTCAAATGGCCCAGAACTCACTATGCAGACCAGGCTGGTCTTGATCTCACAGAGATCTGCCTGCTTCTGGCTCCTAAGTGCTGGCATTAAAGGCCTGCACCACCACGCCCTGTGCAGTTCTGTATTTTGATTGACAGGTCTGATCATATAATCATTTTTCAACTGCATCTGTCCTTTCCCATAATGTATGATTTTAATCATATACCTGCACATTATGTACAGGCATAAGACGGTAAGTAGAGGATTCTCCTTTAAAATTTACCTAACACAGTTTTACCTTATTGTGCATGCACTTAAAACCAGTCCAGGCCAGATCAGCCCTTCTTTTCTTCAACCTGGATACATTAGGAATACACTTGGATAGAAGCTGTCTGAAGTTGGACAGGACAAAGCTATCCATATTGCTGTTTAGAGATGAAAGTATAGGGTGGAGCTCGAGGGGGTACTGAGGCCCCTAGGTGCACTGTTCAGAGAGGGGCATGTGCCTGCAGGTGAATGAGCCAGGCTGCCATGTGCATTATGAGAACGGGTGTATGCGTAGCCTCGGGTCACTAAACTTTTCCCTATGCTTGCCTGCCCCAGGGCCTCATGTATCCCAGGCTGGCCTGGAACTTTCTGTAGCTGAGGATAACCTTGAATTCCTCATCCTCCTGCCTCTACCTTCCAAATGCTAAAATTACAGGCATGCACCATTATGCCCAGTTTATATGGTGCTGGGGACTGAACCCAGGGCCTCCTGCATGCTAGGCAAACACTACCAACTGAGCTATACCTCCAACCCCTGCCTTTTGTTTTGTTTGAGACAGGGTCTCTATGTAGCCCCAGCTGGCCTGGAACTTACTATGTAGACCAGGCTGGCCTTGAACTCACAGAGATCCACCTGCCTCTGCCTTCCCTGTGCTAGGATTAAAGACCTGCACCACCAAGCCCAGCTCCCTCTACTCCTTTTGTTAAAACAGAGTCTCACCATATATCCTAGGTTAGCCTAGAATTCATTTATTTGTGTATATGTATGTGGGTGGATGCATGTGTGACATGGCATGCATGTGGCGGTCAAAGGACAACTTGCAGGAGTTGGTACTCTCCTTCTGCCATATGGACCCTGGGGATCAAACTCTGGTTGTCAGGCTTGGTCACAAGCACCTTTACCTGAGAGCCATCTCACTGGCCCTAGAACTCACTACGTCGCCCAATTTCATCTCAATTTCATCACCCTCCTATCTCAGCCCTCCACCCTCCACCCCCAGTGTTGGGATTACAAACATAGCCACCAGGCCCAGTTTGGATTTGTTTTAAACACCATCAGAGAGGCCCCAGTGAGCAAGACAGTGCCATAACCAAATTGATCTTTTCCCTATGACTGTTGTGGGGAATATATGTGGGGAGACCATGGAACTGATGGAGACTAGATCAAGATGGGGGACCAGGATGGAGAGACGGTGGGAGGCAGGGCCCTGTTGCAGAGAAGCAGTGTTCTGGAAGGGGTGAAATGTTCAAGGCTGACTCCAGGTCTTTTGCAGCCTGGCATGCACCCCAGCCTGCCTCACCCCCATGGCCTGGTTCTACCTCCATTTGGCCCCACACAGTGTTGGCAAATATCAGAACCAGGGCACGTTCAAGAATGTGGGAGGAGGGCCAGTGTGGTGGCGCACACCTTAATCCCAGCACTTGGGAGGCAGAGGTAGGCAGATCTCTGTGAGTTCAAGGCCAGCCTGGTTTACATAGTTCCAGGTCAGCTGGGGCTACAGGGAGACCCTGTCTCAAAAAGATGAGAGAGAGAGAGAGAGAGAGAGAGAGAGAGAGAGAGAGAGAGGGAGAGAGAGAGAGAGAGAGAATGAATATGGGCCAACCAGAATGAAGAATTTACAGCAAGGGTGACAGAAAGGGCCCTGAGCTCATGGGAAAGTGGGAAGGTTGGTGGCCCATTGATTTTCCCAGACTCCCGTGTCACTGCCTTCTCTCCCTGCAGTGACTCCCATGGACTGTGGCAGCAGCAGCAGTGGTGGCAGCAGCGGTGGCAGCGGCACATGGAGCCGCAGTGGACCCCCAAAGAAGGAAGAACTGGTTGGGGGCAAGAAGAAGGGCCGGACATGGGGCCCCAGCTCCACCTTGCAGAAGGAGCGGGCTGGAGGGGAAGAGAGGTATTGCTGGCTGATTGCCCACCTGCCCCTGTGCCCCTAGGCCCAAGGCTGCCCAGGACCCACCAGTCTCTTGATGCCCCCTGCAGGCTCAAGGCCCTGGGGGAAGGAAGCAAGCAGTGGTCCTCAAGCGCCCCCAACCTTGGCAAATCCCCCAAGCACACCCCCATCGCCCCTGGCTTCGCCAGCCTCAATGAGATGGGTAAGAGTGGGTGCTTGTGGAAGGGTGGGGGCATCACCCCGGCCTGGGTGCGAGGTGCCAGAAAAAGGAGCTAGAGCACCCCACTCATAGGCCGTGTCTGAGAGATGTCTGAGGATGAGCTCAGTGCTTTCTGGGGGGCCTTGCTGTTGGAGAGGTCATTGGAGGCAGTCCTTACCACTGGTCCCCTGGGGGCAGTGGCAGCCGAGTGACCACCCTCTCCCCTTGCAGAGGAGTTCGCGGAAGCAGATGAAGGCAACAGCGTGCCCCCTTCCCCCTACTCCACCCCGTCCTACCTCACGGTGCCGCTACCCCCTGAACCCTCTCCCGGTGCGCAGGCGCCATGGGAGCCACCACCAGCTGTGCCCCCTGCCCGGCCCGGGCATGGCACCCGGCGTCGCTGCGACCTGGCACTGCTGGGCTGCGCCACACTGCTGGGCGCCGTGGGCCTAGGCGCCGATGTGGCCGAAGCTCGGGCAGCGGAAGGCGAGGAGCAGCGGCGCTGGCTAGACGGCCTCTTCTTCCCGCGTCCCGGCCGCTTCCCGCGGGGCCTCAGCCCACCTGGGCGCCCCATGGCACGCCGGGACGACTCAGCCCCCGGCCCGGGCCTGGCGCCCTCGGCCACTCTCGTGTCGCTGTCCTCGGTGTCTGATTGTAACTCCACGCGTTCCCTGCTGCGCTCCGACAGCGACGAGGCTGCTCCCGCTGCGCCCTCCCCGCCTCCCTCCCCGCCCGCACCCTCGCCCTCACCCAGCAGCAACCCCCTGGTGGACCTGGAGGTGGAGAGCTTCAAGAAGGATCCCCGCCAGTCTCTCACGCCCACCCACGTCACCGCGGCGCGCGCCGTCAGCCGAGGACACAGGCGGACGCCGTCAGATGGAGCGCTGGGGCAGCGGGGCCCAGAGCTCAGCAGCCACTGCCCGGGTGAGTGAGGCCTGCACAAAGCGCCCTTTTCCATAGCCACTGCCCCATGCCCCCTTTCTGCAGAGCATGGGGAGGGAGGTCTGCATCTTCCACCCTCACTGCTGAGGCACCATGGGTCCTGGGGTGCCTGAGATGCAGGGTAATTACAGGTGACCGGATAATGCCTGCAGGGCTGAGGCAGGTGCCAGGTCCCCTTATTAACTGTCATTTGGTTACTATGCTCTGCAGGCCCACAGGCTCCTGCTTACAGCTGCTTTGTGAAATTTGATACCTGCTGTAGAACAAGCCCGTTTTGACCCATTTTTAGAGGAAATTAAGAGCTGGGCTTGGTGGCCCATACCTGTAATCCCAGCACTCAGGAGGTCAAGGGACAAGGTCATCCTGAGCTACATAAGGAGTTTTGAGGCCAGCCCTGGTTACATGAGACCCTGTCACAAAGTGGGGGGCTGTGCAGGAATGGGCTAGGGATGTAGTTCAGTTGGTACAGTGCTTGCCTAACATGATGGGTTCAATCCCCAGCACCACATAAAAATGGGTGTGGTGACACACCCACAATCCCAGCACTCCAGGGTGGAGGTAGGAGCATCAGGAATTCAAGGTCTTCCTCTGCTACAGAGTTCCAGGCCAGCCTGTCTCAAAAAACCAAAAAAGTCACTCAGATGAATGAGCCATTGGGAGCTCTGGGGACCCAGGTCAAGGCTGAGTGTGCAGTTCCTGATGGCTGTGGCCTGCTGGAAAGCAGGCTTAGCCAGATCTGAGGACTTTTCAGGAGAAGCCAGCAACACCACTTTCCAAGTATGGGTCTGGCTTTGAAATGTTATCCTTTATCCCGACCCTCACCTTGTGATCCTTTCTTCCCAGGCCCTCGAGACCCCCTGGATTTCCCCCGCCTGCCTGACCCCCAGGCCCTGTTCCCCACCCGTCGCCGACCCCTGGAGTTTCCTGGCCGTCCCACTACCCTGACCTTTGCCCCACGACCCCGGCCAGCTGCCAGCCGTCCCCGTCTGGACCCCTGGAAACTGGTGTCCTTCAGCCAGATACTCAGCATCTCACCTCCTAGCAGGCCAGACACTCCAGAGAGCCCCGGGCCTCCCAGTGTACAGCCTACACTGTTGGACATGGACATGGAGGGCCAGAGCCAGGACAACACAGTGCCCCTGTGTGGGGCCTATGGCTCTCACTGAGAGGCCTGCCTACCACCGCCCGCCTGGGCAGCCATGAATGTAGCGCCCCAGGCCCCGCCACAGCCCACCATGCCCCACGGTGGGGGAGGCCCTGGGCAGGATACTCTATTTATTGGGGAAGGGTGGAGGGGAGGACACTTAATTTATTCCTTTGTACCCCAGGGGGTGGAGCCCTGAGCCCACCCTGTAGTGGGGGGGAGGGTAGGCAGGGATACTCAGGGACAGGGCATCATGGGGGATTTGGCACAAAACACAGAATTAAAGGTAACCCCTGCCCCCTACCAGGCTTGGCTGTGTGTGTTCCCCAGCCTGGTCCCTGATGTTGGTTCATCTGTGAAGGAACACCCTTACACCCCACACTCCTCTCTGGCCTCTCTGGGTTTCTGAGGGAGTGAGATCCAGTTGCGGGTCCTGCCTTTGGCCCCACAAGAACACCACACAAAGGGGGTATGGTCACCAATGACAAGTGCTTTACCAGTAAACACACAAGCCTTGGAAAGTAGCCAATGAGGTGGAGGGAGTCTCCTGGAGGCCGCCCCGTGGCCTCAGCCCACCACATCCCGAGTGGGTCCTCCAGCCCCACTGCCACTGTCATCCCGCTGGAGGCTGCAACGGTTCATCTTCAGCTGGGTCAGCTGGATGTAGCGGAGGACATTGGTGTCTGCAGAGGAGGTGGGAGGTGTTAGCTGGGTGTCCTGGGACAGTGGGTACCACCCACATCACCTCAGCTCACACTCAGTGGCCCCCCTCCCTCAGCATCTCAGTTGCAACCAGCCACCCAGAGCCAGTTCACACCTCCCGTTTCACATGTGCTGCACTCTGCCGAGAGGCTCCTATCACACCTCTCATCCCCCAGGACAGCTGTTCTCACCAAACCACTTCACAGGAAAGCTAATCTTGCCTCTGTTCCCACCAGCCTGCATCAGCACCTGCTGTGCTTTCTGCCCTTCTCATTGGCTTGTGTTGTGTCTGTCTGGGCACACGTGGGCACACACAGGCACCCTGACTGTGATCTCCCCAAAGGCAGAGACCAAGTGTTCGGAGGAATGAGTGAAGGTGTGAAGAGGTGACGCAGTGTGTGAATGGGCTGGAGTGGAGGAATGCCTGCGTGGGGTGGGAGGTAATCAAGGTGGTAATGGTGTGTGCACAGCGACATGGATGGGCTCTATCAGGATGGGTCAATGGGCTGGGTAGCCCAGCTGGTAGAGGGCTTGCCTCCCATACAGGAAGCCCTGGGTTCAATCCCCAGCACCGCTGACGACCAGGCAGTGACGTACTAGAGGAGAGCAGGCTGGGAGGAAGCATAGGTGAGTGGATCTTTCCTGAAGGGCGGAAGAAGGATTGAACACACTGCGGGTGTGTAAGGGCGGATGAAGGATTGAACACCTGGCGGGCGTGTAAGGAGTCTTAGGCTGTTGGAGAGGCAGCTCTGTGGCAGGAGGGCTCTGCCCTACCCTGGTCCTCCAGCCTCGGATCCCTGTGCTCCAGCCCCGCCCCTGCCCGGCCTCTCACCTGTGGGCTCCCGGCTGCGGGCCTCCTGCAGGTAGCGCAGTGCACGGGAGTAGTCACCCAGATGGTAGAAGGCAATGCCGGCGCGGTAGGTGGCCTTGAAGTTGCCCTGCTGTTTCTCCAGCACCTTGAGACAGTACTCGCGCACGCGCTCATAGTTCACCAGCTCGGACTGCAGGAGGCAAGCTGCAGGGATGCAGGGACGGGTGCTCTCAGAGACTACGGGCATCCCCTAGGACCCATGAGACCTCGAGGAACCGGGCCTCTTCCCCTCAGCCTCAGGGATTGCTCAGACCACCAGGGGCGCCAATCTGCTGGCCCATTAGAATAGCGTCGATCTGCGCCGCCGCTAGAGGGCGCAAGACAGACAAGGTCTGCTGCAATTAGCTGGAGGTTGCCCAAGGCAATTGCAGACGAGGGACCAGGAGCAGAAAAGCTCATCCAGGGTTAGCCTTTCTTTCCTGGCTCGGTGTGGCAGGAGGGAAGAACGCCAGGCAGGCGAAGCTGGGTTCTGAAGACCAAGCCCAAAGCCAAACCCAAGCCCCCGCTTCCTCACCTAGAAGCCTGCCTTCTCCTCCCAGCTCCTCCCCTCCATCAAGTTCTAAGTCTCCCCAACAGACCATCGCCCTGATCCCTCCAGCCTCCACCCCGCCCCCCAAGGCCTCCGAATTTCCCCTCACTGCCCACCCTGCTCCCCATGTCCTCACCCCCCCCGCCCCCCGACGGCCCCGTACCCGTGAGAGAGTCATAACATTCCACCTCTGTGCTCTCCACCAGGCGCCGCTGCTCCTCGCTGAGGCGAGCCGGCCCTGGGCTGGTGGCAGGCCCGGGGGTGGGGGCGGGCAGGCCGCCAGGGCGGGCCCCCTGAGCCGCCTTCAGTTGCAGCAGTGCCCGGTGGTACTTGCCGATGGCTTCCCGGAACTTCTTCTCTCGATAGCAGCGCTGGCCCTCCGCCTTGAACGCCACGGCGGCCCGCAGGCTGCTGTCAAGTGCCGCAGCCAGGCCCCCCGACGGCTCTGGGGCAGGAGCCGGACGAGCCGAGCCATGGCGGGGGCCTGAGCCCGGGCCGGGCGGGGAAAGGGCGGGAGGCGGGCGAGGTGGAGGCTCCGGGGCTGCGCTGAGCATCAGCACCGGGGACAGCGCGCCGCGCTGCATTGTGGGAAACTCCTGCGGCCGCTGCTGCAGCTACCGCATCGCCCCCCGTGGGGCCGGTCCCCACCCTTTCTCCGCCCCCGCACCTCCGGCTGCAGTCTCCGGCTGCCCCCTATGGGTCTAGGGAAGCCCCTCCGGACTACCCCTCGCCCACCTTCGCTCCAGCCTCAGTCTGGTTCTCCAGGCGCCTCTCCCTAGTCCCCACTCCCTTTACCCTCCCCACCCTCCTGGCTCCTCTCCACTCCCCGTGTCCAAAGCACCCGAAGATTTCCAGAAGATAAGGATGAACAGGCAGACAGCAGTCGTGGAAAGCTGGTTTTTCAGCCCACCAGTCATTTGGCATGTGGGCTACGAACACGGGATATGGACTCAAGATGCCCAGATCCATATCCCTGCTGATTTCTCACTATTGTACAACTTGGACAGTTCACTTAGATTACCTGTAGCTCTGTAGATAATGCCCACGTTGGAATTCATTCATTTATTTATGCAACACATTGCCATTGAGCTTTGCTTGGTTTCTGTTCTGGATGATGCAATGATAGAGAAGCTGGGCGGAGTAGCACAGGCCTGTCTGTAATCACACTCAGGAAACTGACACAGGAGGGTCAAGAGGTTAAAGTTAGCCTAGGCTACAGGTGAATTCCAGTCCAGCCATGCTTCATAGCAAGAGAGAGGGACAGAGAGAAAGGGGAGAGAGACAGAGAAAGGGAAAGGAGGAGAGGAGAGGCAGAGAGGGGGAGGGGAGGAGGGGGGGAAGGACGAGGGGAGGGGAGAAAGGAAGGGAGGAGGATTGTTTTGGGATTACAGGCCTACCTCACCAGGCCAGGCTTGGAGATAACAATTTTACCTCTGAGTTTGTAGAGACCGAATGGAACATAATTGAGGCAGGGACTAGGCTTGTGTACCTCACTTCACTCCATCACTTCCCCCAAGACCCTAGACTGGATTTCAGCACCTGAACCTCCACTGGCCCCATCCTTGCCCCCACAGCACATCCTTTGCTCCTACCCAATAGGCCAGAAGCTGGATGCAGCACCTTCCATACCAACAGCAGCCCCTCCTCTACCTCACATTGCATCTTGGTGGAAAAAAAAATGGTTTTAAATAGTTTTCTCCCTGTCCCTGAGGTCTAACCTTGAACTGCTCAAAAATGGAGACATTCTTTTCTGCACCTTCAAACCCAAACTTAGTTAAAAGTTCTTGAGTTTGAATTCCTAAGTAATGTGACTGCCTTTGGGCACTCAGATGTGTTTGGGTTGGGTTTTATTTGAATGGAAAACACAGAGGGCCAACATGGTGGAGCACACATCTGTGATTCCAGCACTTGGAAGGCAGAGGAAGGAGGATCAGGAGTTCAAGTTTAGCCTGGGCTACAGAACAAGACCCTGTCCCAGAAAGATGAAAGAAAGGGAAAAACAGAAATGTATTGACTGTTGCCGTTGTTAAAATGGGTTTTTATGTGCTGAAGAGAGAGCTCAGAGGTAAAGAGCATGGGTTGCTCTTGCAGAGGACTTAGGTTCAATTCCCAGCACCCACATAGTGACTAACAGTCATCCTAACTCCAGTTCCAGGGGATCCGATGCCCTCTTCTGACCTCTGTGGTTACTGCACACATGGGTGTACTTACATACATGCAGGCAATACACTCATACACATAAAATAAAAACAATAAATAAATTAAAAAAATGGTTTCATGGGGCTGTAGAGATGGCTCATCGGTTAAAAATACTAGTTGCTCTTGCAGAGAACCCAGGACACACATTACAGCTAACAACCATCCATCCAACTCCAGTTCCTTGGAATTCAATGCCTTCTTCTGACCTCCATGGGCACTGCATGACATGGGTGCACTTACATATATGCAGGCAATACACTCACACACATTTTTAAAAGCAGGGTTTTTTTAGCCGGGCGTGGTGGTGCACACCTATAATCCCAGTACTCGGGAGGGAGAGGCAGGCGGATCTCTGTGAGTTCAAGGCCAGCCTGGTCTACATAGTGAGTTCCAGGACAGCTGGGGCTACAGGGAGACCCTGTCTCAAAAAGACAAAAAAAAAAAAAAAGCAGGGTTTTATGTAGCCTAAGCTCACCTCCAACTTGCTATAGAGCTAAGAATGACCTTAAACTTTTGATCCTCCTACCTCTACCTCCCAGGTTCCAGAAGTTCTTAGTTTTCCCTTCCTACTAAATAGCTAGGGGCTGGGGCACAGTAGCAAACAGGGAACAATTGTCCCTCACTCATAGTCTGCGAGGATACAATACTAACACTTTCACAGCACTAAGTTGCTGGCATTATTCCAAGCCTTTACATATAGATTAAATCCTATGCTCACCACACCACTACAAAAGCACTGATACAGCTATGGACATTGTGGCACTTTGGACATGAAGTCAGACTTCAGTTATTAAAATATCAAAGATCAGGGCTGGAGAGATGGCTCAGCGGTTAAGATCACTGATTCTTCTTGCAGAAGACCCAGGTTCAAATCCCAGCACCCACATGGCAGCTAACAACTGTCCATAACTCCAGTTCCAGGGGATCCGGCACCCTTTTCTGACCTCCTCAGGCATTGCACAACATGGGCGCACTTACATACATGCAGGCAATACACTCAAACATAAAATAAAAAAAATTGCTGGGTGTGGTGGCGCATGCCTTTAATCCCAGCACTTGGGAGGCAGAAGCAGGCAAGTCTCTGTGTTCAAGGCCATCCTGGTCTACATAGTGAGTTCCAGGACAGCTGGGGCTACAGGGAAACCCTGTCTCAAAAAGACCAAAAAATAAAAATAAAAAATAAAATATAAAAATCCTTTTGTTACGGGCCAGCAAGATGGATCAGTGAGTAAAGGCACCTGCCACCAAAGCCTGACTACCTGAGTTCTAACCATGGAAACAACTAAGTTGTTATCTGGCCTCCACATGCTGTAGTACATATTACTATACCCTTACATGTCTTTTTAATTCATTGTTTTCCAAGGGTGCCCTTGAATTGCAGATTCTCCTACCTCCACCTTCCCTGTTGGGATTGCAGGCATATGGCCCCCACACCCAAGGTTTATGCAATGCTAGGAACCGAATCCAAGGCTTCCTGTATGCTGTGTGAGCAGTCTACCAACTAAGCCACATCCCCAGACCTCATCTTCAAAAGACCTTTACTAACTGATGACCTCCACAGGCTAGCATAATGTGGTGTGCTGGACTTACACAGACAAATTAAAAATATCAATTTAGTTTGGAATAATTTCACAAATCTATAATCCCAGCACTCGGGAGGCTAAGACAGAATTGTGAATTTGAGGCCAACCTGGACTACTTAGCAAGACCCTATATCACATATATATGTGATGTGTACATCTATGATGTGTATATATACATATGTATATACTTGTTGATTGCATATAAATACAGGGGCATTTATGGAACCACAGATCTTCAGTCACTTGATTGAAGTCTGAAAAGATGGTAACATCGAGGTAACTTTCCTCATAACTAGAACAGGCCCTCCCATTTCTCCACTGTTCCCATCCTTAGCAATTTAATTTTTTAATTATTTTATGAATATTTGCCTGAATGTATATAAGTGCACCAGTCGGATCCCCTGGAACTGGAGATAAAGATGGTTGTTGGCTACTATGTGGGTTCTGGGAATCAAACTCTCCAAGAGCAACCAGAACTCTTAACCACGGAGCCAGCTCTCCAGTCCCCCTAACAAGTTTTCCCACATCAAAAGGATTACAGTTTTATTTCAATGAGCGGTTCTGGGGGAAGTCCGCCAGTGCCCCCTGGCGGGGGAGGATAAAATTGGCTCTTCCTTTTTATTAAGAAGCTTGGTGAGATTATCCAATCCGATGTGTAAGAGGACCAGGAAATGACCAATCAAAATCGAGTGTGGGGTTGGACTTTGACCAATGCGGACCAAGGGCGTTCAAAATTTAAAAACGCTTTTTATTGAATTATTAAAGACCAATGCACATTGAGTTTTTTTTTTTTTTTGAGTAGCTCCGGCTCAAGGAGGCGGGGACTGGAGGTGGCCGAGCAGGCAGGCCGCAGCAAGGCTGGTGCCCTGGTGCTGGGGCCGCGCGTACTTGAGAAAGACCGCAGCGCGGCCAGGGGCCGGGCCTCTTACCGCAGCGCGGACCATGCAGGGCTCCAGGGGTTCCAGCTCCACGGAGCTGCACGAGGAAACGGAGAAAACGAGCAGGAAAGGGAGGTGCATATGACTTACCCGGGGAGCTGGAAGCTTAAATTGAGAGGACACGTTGAAGAGGGTCCCAGGGCTGGGGATGGCTCTGGAGACAGACCTCTTAAAGTCATGACTAGGGGGCGCCAAGGGGGGCAGTCACATTATTCTCTAAGGGTGGGGCTAAACAACAGATTGATGAGAGGGGGTGGGTTGCTGGGGATGGAACCTAGTGTCTCCAGTTGGAGATGCAAAGCTCTAGTTCTACTATGGCACGCCCCTAGTCCCTCACTGGGGATTCTTGGCGGGTGCTCTACCACTGAACCACACCCCAGCCCCTCACTGGGGGATTCTAGGCAGGTGTCCTACCACTGAGCCACACCCTCAGCCCCTCGCTGGGGGATTCTAGGCAGGTGTCCTACCACTGAGTCATACCCCCAGCCCCTCACTGGCGAGTGCTCTGCCACAGAGCCCCCACCCCCAGCCCCAGCCCTTTCAAAACGTTTTATTTTGAGACAAGGTCTCACTGAGCTGCTCAGACTGGCCTTGAATTCACTGTAGCCCAAGATAACCTTTACTTTTTGATCCTTCTACCTCATTCTCCCAAGTAACTGGGATTAAAAGTCTTCACCACTATGCTGGATGGGGTGGTCAACAGGATTATTTGGCTCTAACAGAGAGAGAAGTTATGAAGCCAGAGAACCGCAGGCCTGGCAAACCTCTTCATTCTCAAACTGGAGCCTGGAAGACCCAATCTTTCACCTTGAGGCAAAGTTATGAGTCCCCAAGAATGTACAAGCACCCCCAGAGAAAGGCAAACGGCAGCTAGGTAGACGAAATGGCATTCTATTCCAAGAAAAATAATCAAGTGTTGCCCTCTCTGCCCATAACTGTCTCTCATTCTCAGAGATGGTGAAGAGGGGCGCCAGGCAGAGAGGCTCACCAAGGGCCCCGAGGCACTACCCGCCTCCACCAAAGGCCATTACCTGTAAATCGTGGGGCCTGACCTGGAGGCCGCACCAAGCATGCGGTGCGCCAGGCTCAGAGCTGCAGCGGCTCGACGACCTGGTTCCCAAGCTGCTGCCTCAGCCTCCAACAAGGACAGCTCCAGGAAGTAGGTAGCAAACAGCAGCACCTGCGGGAGAGGATATTAGGCCACGCCCCTACATCCTGGCCACACCCATCGTGTGCCGGCCACGCCCCTCGCCCCCCGCACCTGGGGGCTGCTCCTGGCCAGAGCAGCCAGCAGTCTAAGGCAGAGCAATGGGCATGGATAGTACAACCGGAAATTCAAGCGGTTCAGGATGCGACGCTCCGCACGCAGAAGCTCCGCCGGAGAGAAGGAGCCAGCACTCAGGAGGCAGAGGGAGGCGCACTGTGGACGGAAGGGAAAGGTGTTGGGGTAGCCTCGGACTCCAACTCTAGCATGTCTGGGATGGGTGTGTATAGTCCAACTTCCAGACTTCAGTTTCCTGGTCTGTAAAATGGGACTATTGACGACTGTCTGAAAGTCATGGATAAGACAGGCTTCAGAGTTGGAATGACCTGGTTCCACACACCACTTATTCACTGTCTGATATGGACTTCTACTTAAGAGCTTTGCCTTTTTTTTAATGATAGGGTCTCCAGACTGGCCTTGAACTCATCTGGTCTCTGTCTCCCAGCACATTAGGCAGTTCTGACAAGGCACAGAATAGAAAGCAGTTAACTTTACTCGGGTGGACTACTTCAGTTTGAGTTCCACTTGCTGACTCTGCACCTAAGTCCCCTATTACAGTGACTCAGTCCCTACCTCACACAGATTTCTTGGAATCCCAAGAGAATATACAGTGTGGCCTAAAGTCCCCCCAAGGGCCCAGCTCTGGAGTACCTCTGGCAACACGCACTCTTCCATTTTGCACGCCAGGAACAAACAAGCCACCCCCAGCAGCTGCAGTCGCTGAAGGCGCACTCTGCCCGTTCGAAGGTAAGAATCCAGCAAGTGCACAGCCAAGTACAGTGTGTCCCCTTCCAGAGCCAGGTACTCCTGGAGAGAGACAAGAGTCATCACCAGTCCCAGGCCACGACACAGGCCCAGTCTTGAACCCTCTCCTGTACATACGTGCACCTGGACCAGCCAGTCCACCACTAGGGCGCGCATCTCCGGAGTCACTTTGCGAGGCAGGGCTCTCCCAGGCAGTGTGTCGCACACCTACAGGAGTGCAAGGATGGCCTCACTCTCCACATCTGTGCCTCGGTTTTTCTTCTGGTCTCTGGCCTCCTCTGGTTGGATACAGCACAAGTACCATACCCAAACGGCCAAGTGTCCTCTGTTCTGAATCCCCATCTAGAATCCTGGACTTTGTTCTAAGTTGCTTCCCTACCTCTCTTTCCAGTGTGGAGCTCCCATGGCTCCTGACTTCCTGGCATACCCCCACACACACACACATACTCTCCCCCTCCTCAGACTCTACTTTTGGTGACCAAACTTGGATTTGTCACCCCCACCCAGAGCACCTAGAAGGTGCTCACAGGGATCCGACTGCCTCTGCCTCCCACGTGCTGGGATTAAAGGTGTGCACCACCACACCCGGCTTAAAAATGGTAAAATATACAGGAAGACCCTGTCTCAAAAAAGACCAAAAAAAAAAATTTAATTAAAAAAAAATCGCTAAAGGACATAGAGCACTTGCCTAGCCACCAGTGGGGGCCTGAGGGCATGACTCAGCCACAGAGTGTTTGCCAAGACTGCATAAGTTCCTGGGTACCATCTCCAGTAGCAGCAGCACACCACACAAAATTGCTGAGTGTTTGTAAAATGAATAAACATGAGGCACAGAGACAGGGTTCTATGAAATACCAAATGAAGGGCTGCGAACAGCCTGGGACAGTGGTGTTCCAAGTCATGAAGATGGTCCAGGCAAGAGGATGAACCGAAAAAGGAAAGGCCTATTAGCTGGGTGTGGTGGCGGCAGGCCTGTAATCCCAACAGTTACATAGTGACTTTGAGGCTAGCCTGGGTTACTTGAGACTCTGTCTCAGAAAAATAAATAAATAAAAATCAAACAGGAAGGGAGGGAAGGAAGGAGAAGCTTCACTTTCATCTAACTGCTTGCTCACCATTAGTTCAGTGAAGATGTCCCCAGCATACTCGCGTTCTCCCTCCAGCCCCAGCACACTTAGGGCCTCCTCCAGCCTAGGTGTTGCACATGGCCCAGACAGTCTTTTCAAGCGTCCTGAGGAGACACCCGTGCCTGTGGCCATGCCTTTGAGGACCTGGAGCCTTTCGAGGCTCTAGATCAAGGGAGACTGAAGGTCAGTGGCTGGAGAGAGGCCAGAGTCGGAAGCTGGACCCCTGTGCCTAACTCTCACCAGCATCCTCCAGGTGAAACCAGGCCAGGGCTCAGGCTTCCAGCTGGAGCTGGTACTTTGAATGATCCACAGCGCATGCACATTGAACTCACACCCCCTGAGCAGGTGCAAACCCTAAAGTGAGTGCTAGCAGACTGAGCAGTGTAAACTCTAAGATGACTTAGATGCTCTGTGTCCACCAAACTTGAGGTCAGGCAGCTAGAGTGGCACACACACCCCTGGCCCCATCAGCCGCACTGCCCTCCGTCCCAACATGGATTGTTTCTAAACCCAGTGAATAAACAGACTGTTCCTGAGGCTTTCTAAGTGTTGGGCACATGGTGGGAGGACAAATCACCTGTGTATCCCCCATTCCTCCCTCCTTTAGCAAGCCCACTGTGTACTAGGGAGAGCAACTCTGCTCAAGGCTCTCAGGGCTGTCTGGGGAGTCTTGTCTCTATCAAGCCGAAGGCCCAGGACACCCTGTTATCTGCTCCCCATCACACACACTCCTCTAGCCTCATCTATCCCATGACCCATTCGCTTCCTCTAGCCACACTGGCCCCCTGGCACTTTCCCACCCACATCAACCACACTCCTACCCCGGGGACTTTGCACTGACTGATCCCTCTTCCTGAACTCCTTTTCCTTTATAGACTACTCACCTCCCAAACCTTTGTTTTTCAGACAAAGACTCATGTAGCCCAGACTGGCTTTGAACTCCATATGTAGCCAAGGGCGACCATGGACTCTTGATCCTCTTGCCTCCATGGTGGTATATACCACCATGCCTGGCTTTCAAACTTCAAGGTACCGACTGTGGTTCCCAGCAGCCATATTGGGCAGGGGCAGCACACAACAACCTGTAACTTCAGCTCCAGGGGCTTCAATGCTCATTTCTCTCACCCAAGGCCACCATACATACACATAAATAAAAATAAATCTAAAAAAGATACTGACTCTGACTTTATCATGTCCATGAAAAGCACCATCCTGTTTTAAACATTTTTCTTATTTTTATGTGTTTGAGTGTTTTGCCTGCATGTATGTAAGTGCACCACATGCATGCAATGCCCATGGAGGCCAGAAGAGAGATCCCCTGGAACTGGAGTTAGCTGCTGTTAGCTGTCAACTGGGTGCTGGAAATAGAACCCAGGTCCTCTGGAAGAACAGCCAGTGTACCTAACCACTAAACCATCTCATCAACTCTGTTCAGCATCCTCCGCCAGCTAGGCACTCCTAGGTGTTCTGTCTCACTGATTCTGATCTACCTGCCGTGAAACCCACCGAACAAGGTAACTGATGAAGGAAGTCATGAAGTTCAGTGGATTTTGCCAAACGAAACCCCAGATCTGTTTAGTAGTCACTGGTACACTTTCTAACTTTACCACATCCGTAATTGCACTGATCACAAATACAGAAGGTGCTGGGACTTTTTCCCATGAGGTATTAGATTATTTTTAGTCTCATTCATTTTTTGATAAGCCAACCAGTCAAAATAGCCTGTCTGGCTGTGGTGCTGTGGGGATCAAGATGGCTCAATGCCTGCAGAAGCCAGAAGAGGGCATCCAATTTCCTGGAATTGGAGTTATGGATGGTTAGCTGCCATGTGGGTGTTGGGAACTGAACCCAAGTACTCTGCAGGAGCAGCTGGTGCTCTTTACTGCTGAACCATCTCTCCAACCCCCATAGACTCTTTAAAAAGTGCTCAAGGGAGATTAAGTGCAGAGAATAGGGACAAGCAGAATGTGCTGGAGAGATGGCTCCAATTAAGCCAGTTAAGAGCACTTGCAGGAAATACAGTCATGCACATAAAATAAAAATATAAATAAGGCAGGTATGGTGGCACATGCCTTTAGTCCCAGCACTATGGAGGCAGAGGCAGGCCGATCTCTGCAAGATGGAGGCCACCCTGGTCTACACAGCAAGTGCCAGACTAGCTAGGGCTACAGGGAAACCCGGTCTCAAAAAGACAAAAAAATTAAAAAAAATATTTTAAAAGTCTAGGTAGCTAAGGCTGGCCTGGAACTCAAGCCTTCTCTCCCTCTCCTGAGTAGTGGGATTACAAACGTGCCACCATGCCTGGCATCTGAGCATTTACTGCCTTCTAACTTGAGTTCAAAACCCTGAAGTGGGGCTTTTTGTTTCCCACCACCATCGCTGCTGTTTTATCTCCAGGGTCTAGAACAGTGCCTGGCACATAGTAGGTGCACAACAAATATTTTTTGAATGAATTAGTATGCAGGTTGGACATGATTAAAGACGGTGGCCCAGGAGGCAGTGATACTGGAGTTGAAAGCTTAAAGAGGAGAAAGCCAGGGAGTAGAAAGGAGAAACAATTCCACGTGGGAGGAACAGCATGAGCAAAGCCCTCAAGGCAGGAAGCTGCTTATTTTCAGGCACTGACTGGTCAGCAAGGCTTGGAAACAGAAGCAGAGGGAGAGTCCAAGATACTGGACCGGTGGCTTCTTGGCACCCAGAAACCCACACTCGTTCCCTTGACCCAAAGGTCCCTTTGGCCTGTTACCTAATATTTCATCCACACCATGTCTCCCTCTCATTTGAGAAACTCTGTCCTCTTCGTGTTCCTCAGAGGTGAAGAAACCAGAGAGACACTATCTCAACTAAGGGCTCAAAGTCAGTTAAGGGACAAAGCATCGTCACGTGCATGTCATGAGGAGCACACGTCACTTCTGGGAATTCTCCACAAGACAGATTGAATTTAATCACAGGGAAACATCATCAGGTCATCAAACACCAAACCATGATCAAGGTACTTTGGCGGGGGGGGGGGGGGGGGGGGGGGGGGGCTGGAGATGGGCCTTGCACACATTAAGCAAACCCTCTACTGCTGAGCCACGCCCCCAGCCCCTTATTGGTGGATTCTAAGCAAGTACCACTGCTGAGCCATGCTCCAATGCCCTCTTGTAGATTTTAGGCATGACCCCTACTGCTGAGCTGCATCTCCAGAAGAAACATTCTGCAGCGTTAACTATGGTGTGAAACTTTACTTTTATTTAATGTGTACCAGTGTTTTACCTGCATATAAGTGCATCATGTGTATGCAATAGCAGCAGTCAGAAGAGGGTGTTGGATCTCCTGGAACTGAAGTTATGGACAACTTAGCTGCCATGTGGGTGCTGGGAACTGCACCTGGGACCTCTAGAAGAGCAGTCAGTGCTCTTAACCGCTGCTGAGCCCTCTCTCCAGCCCCCACTTTCACCATTGTAGCTGTTTGAGAGTGTCTGTGTTACCCCAGCTGGCCTAGAACTCCTATGTAGACCAGGATGGCCTCAATCTCACCTGCCTCTGCCTCTGCCTCTGTTGAGATTAAAGGCATGTGTCACACCAGGCCCTAGAACATTTTTCAAAGGAAAGGACACTACATGTTACTAAAATTGACAAAGTATTATAGAGAACATTATGTCAATGTTAACTTTGGACCTTGGGTAAGAGAATGTTCTTGGCTCTGGTAGGATGTTTAACCGTGGAGGAGGAGATGCAGATAAAATGGTGGTAAAATGCTGAGGAACCTCGGACAGGATATATTCTATTCTTTTGTTTGCAGTACTGGGGAATGAAGCCAGGGTCTTGCCCACTCTCCCAGCCTACATGCAACTTTTACTTCAAGATTTACAGGAAGCTGCAGTTCCCACACGACTGGTATGTTAGTGCAGCACGTCCATCACAGTAAGCATGGGTGTCATTAGCTAAGTTGGCTTTGTCCTTCCCCTGGCGTCTTCTGGCCCAGGACCTCATCCAGGGAGCAGCTTTATTCCTGGTGTTGGTTTCTTTTCTCCCTTGTTCAGGGATCTTGACAGAGACCTGCCTGACTGCAGCTTCCTATCACTAGGACCTGGTTATATATTTGGGGAAGTGACATTCTAACAATCACAGCAACAGAACATTCTGCCAGCATGATTTTAATGTTTTTATTTTTGTGTATGAGGGTTTTGTCTGAATGTATGTCAGCGCACCAAAGCATGCAATGCCTGCGGAGGCCAGGGGACATCGGATCCCCTGGAACTTGAGTTAAGGGTGGTTGTTAGTCACACACGGGTGAAGGGAACCAAACCTGGATCCTCTTCCTCTGGAAGAGAAGCCAGTATTTTTAACTGCCACTGAGCCATCTTTCCAGTCCCAAGGTGCCAGTATGATTGACAGTTAACACTTCAAGAACATGGCGGACACACTGCTTGCCAGGAATGTTCATCAAATTTGCACTGCGGCTGGCTGTGGTAGAGCATATCATCTTAGCATTTAGGAGGTGGAGACAGGAGGATCATGAGTTCAAGGTCATCTTGGGCTACACAGTTTAAGGCCAGCCTAGGCTGCAACAGACCCTGTCTCAAAACAACAAAACTCCACAGGCTTGGCAAAGAGGTGCACACCTGTAATCTGAGCACTCTGTAGGCAGAGGTGGGTGATCTATTTTGAGGTCAACATGGCCTACACAAAATGTTCCAGGCTTGTCTGTGCTACACTGAAAGGTGGTCTCAAAACAAAAAAATCCTGTTGTTCTTACAAGCTACTTAAGACAATTTAGAGGTGGTATTTTGGCTCATCTCATCAGAGGGCTCAATCCATGTTCATGTGACTCCATCACTCTCTGGTGAAACTGAGCAGCATGGCAGGGACAGCCGGCAGAGGAAACCTACCGACTCCATGGCAGCCACAGAAGCAGAGGACCATGACAAGACAGGCTAGAGACCTACCCTCCAACTAGGTCCAGTACCCTAATGGTCCGTTCAGCTATGGGCTTGTGGATTAAACCATTGATGAGGTTGGCACACTATGATCCAGCCACCTCTGGAGAGCACCACCACCTGGGGACTAGGCTATCCACACTGGAGCATTTTGGGGGATACGTCCTATCCAGTCAACATCAGGTGTCCTAAGGATGTACATACAGTCCACATCCCAGGAAGGGGTTAGCACCGTCTCCCCATTACTACTCACCAGCACAGTCTTATTTCAGACACTGGACAGAATCCAATTCTGTTGCTTGTTGTTCAAATTATTTTCAGCTTTGCTTGCTGCGAATCTTCCTCCTTAGCTTGTGTCTTTGGAAAAACCCCATCACTGGGTGGGGCATATTTCTACGGGCTGTTTTTGGTGCTGGGATCAAACCCAGTCAACACGTGCGCTACCACTGAGCTACGTACTCAGTCCCTGTGGGCTTGTGGAAGCCAGAGGAGCAACCTCAAGTGTCCTAAATTGCCCTCCACCTTTTTAAAAATTAACTCTTGTCTATTACGGTTTTGCTTGCATGTAAGTGCACCTGTGTGTGCAATGCCCAGAGGCCAGAAGTGGGCATTAGATCCCCTGGAACTGGAGTTAGGCATGGTTGTTAGCTAGCATGTGCTGCTGGGAACTGAACCAGGATCCTCTGGAAGAGCAGCTAGTGCTCTTAACCACTGAGCCATCTCTCCAGCTCCTTTGCCTTGTTTTTTGACCTAAGGTCTCTCACTGAACCTGGAGTTCACAAAGTTGGACTGTTTGGCCAGTGAGCCCGAGACTCTCACATTCCCACTTCCTAGCAATTGGGATTATGGGTACATACCACCACACCTGACCTGTTTTTTTCTTCAAATGTGGGTGCTGGGGATTAAACTTGGTCTTCATCTCTGTATCACCTCCCCAACCTCCCACTGTGGGTTTTTATTCCCAGCAGCTCCATGATACTCTAGGATCATCTTAGTACCATTTTGTTTTCTTTTTCTTCTTCTGAGGGGATTTCACTCCATAACCCAGGCTGGCCTCAAATTTTGGATGCTCCTGCCTTAACTATCCCCTACCCCTGGTGCTGGGGCTACAGGCATGAACCACCACTCCTGGAGAGTCCACCTTAAAAGTTTTCCTTCAAGTCTGTAATTCTTTCAATTTTTTTTTTTTTTTTTGGTCTTTTTGAAGCAGGGTCTCCCTGTAGCCCCAGCTGTCCTGGAATTCACTATGTAGACCAGGCTGGCCTTGAACTCACAGAGATCCCCCTGCCTTTGCCTCCCAAGTGCTGGGACTTTTATTTCAAATTTTTAAATGTATGAATCACTACACTTTCTGGAAAGCTAGGCAGCACATCCTTAAGTCATGGGATCTAGGCCATAAATATGAAGGCACAGACACAGCAAGATGGATCCTTTGTTTATTACAGCACTGTTGGTAGCAGGAGGGGGGGGGAACCAACTTGAAAAACAGAATCCCAAGTAAATTCCTCAATGAGAGAGGCTGAGCTGACTGGGATGCCCTCACCCTACAAGCTACCCAAGACCACAATGTCCACCAGTCCCTGAAAATGCATTTAGTGTGGCTAAAACCTGATTTTACCAAGGACCCAGCATACCAAATATGCAAGATAGAAGGAGCACTGATGGGGGATGAGATCGCCTGGGAGGAATGGGCAAAACAAATAGTCAGAGCACGACTCGCCAGACTCTGTGCCTCTGTAGAGCCCCAGCTGGCCTGGAACTCACCATGTAGACCAGACTAACCTTGAACTCAAGAGATCCACCTGCCTCTGCCCCCTGAGTGCTGGGATTAAAGGTGCTCGCTACCATACCTAGTGGATGCTTTTATTATAGACTCAAGCTGATAAAACTTGTGGCTAAAAGCCTGAGGGAGACAGCGATGTACCCCCAGGGAGATCTGAGTCACACAATTCAACAAAAGAAACTGTTTCCATCTGTCACCCAAGGGCTGGGACTAGGACTAGGAGGAATAAAGGCATTTGTTTCTCTATTCTGTGTTGGCAATGGAACCCAGGGTCTTGTAGATGCTACTACTGAGCTCTAATGCCCCAGGGCAGGCTTTGTATGCCTCTACTCATAACCACAGGCGCACACTGACCTAATTAGAGATAGTAAGATCCACATAACAGAATCCCTTACAACCACTCCAGGAGCCTCTGCAGCTGGGACAGCTCTCCGAACTGGCCTTGACTTTCCCACAAGCAACTTCCGAAGTTCTCAAAGTCCCTGTGATGCCCTGACTCATAAAATTTGAAATTCATCTGTGCCAGGCCCTCTGTGCTGCTTGGTCTCTGCAGCCCAGTGCCTGGGAATGCAACTAAAAGGGCACTTAGAGGGGTGGGCTCTAGAGGCACAACCAAACTCAAGTGTTCTGGGCTGAAGGTGACCACAAATGCTGTTAAGTTTCCTGACAGAATTTGGGGAGCTCAAAGCTTCCTGAGGTTTTACAAGGAGATACAGGAATAATGTCCTGCTCTAGAACTCTGGCGCCTGGTGGACTGAGCATTTTCTCTCCTATGTGACCACACACAGCCTTTGCGTGCAGAGCTTCCTAAATGCCCCAACCCACATTTACTCCCCACCTCACCTGAGCAGTTTTCAAGGTCCTGGACTGGTCTCCATGCCACACACACCACCCTGCTGCCTTCCTGACCTCCTCAGTAGCTCCCTCCCTGCAGTTCCACCCACCCCACTTTTCCACCTCCATCTACTCAGTTTCCCAGCTCTATGGCCCTCAGACAGCCAGGGCAGTGGTGGACAGTACCTGGTACACAGTACCGCAGAACCAAGGTCGGGGGAGAGGGTACGGCTGCAGAAATGCAGACGGGGCCCTGGTCTGAAATGAGTGTCTTTATTGCTTGTACCGTAAAAATACAAGGAGTAAGGAAAGGCCAGTGGAGTTGGGAGAGAACTGTCAGATAAACATACACACATAAAAAGGAAAAAGAAGATGCCCCCCCCAACCATCCCCACCCCACCCCTACCCCCAAAGCCTTTCTGTGAATTGCCTAGTCCAGGAGGTGGGGTGGAGATCAAAACCATAAAAATTAAATTCCAAACACCCAGAGATGTTGGGGGGGAAGGGGAGACATGGGCAGAGCAGCAGGTGGATCCCCTACACCTGTGCCCCCCATGGGATCAAACGCTCAGGCTGGGGATGGGGCCTGAGCCCATTCACACCACACCCATTGCACACATAGGTACCTGCACCCCTGGAGCCTGGGATGCCCACTGCCAGAGCAAGGTGCACACCGCTACCCACAGCACTGACAAGGACTGTTGCTCACATTCACTTTAAGGCTCCAGAACAGGGGCCCTGGAGATGGGAGACCCCCCACTCCAATGTGTACCAGAGATACCTCTCCCCATTCCCTTTCCCCTCCCAGACCCCAGAGTCCATGGGGCCCAATACTGTCTTGGTGTGAGATGTGTAACAGCAGAGGCCAATGCCCCTCAGCCCCAGGCAGAGAAGGGAGTCATCCAAAGGGGCTGGGGGCAGGGCCTAGCAGGAAACAAGGCTGTTTGGAAGGAAACCCTGGTAAGGCACGGGGCTGGGGCCAGGAGGGCTGGCCCCCAAATGTTCCTCCTGCTTCATCCAGAGTCAGGAAAGCAGCATGAGAGGAAAAGGGAGGTCTATTCTGGCTCCCTCTCATGCAGACCTGAGGACCCGGTTTCATTTTCTATGGAGCAGAGCCCAGATCCCGTTGCCTCCAAAGGCTTCTGTCTGTCCCTGGTTATTATTGCTTTTCTGCCCCTACTAGGGTGGTAGCAGACAGACTACCTCCTGCTAGGCTCCTTGAGCCAAGGTGATGACATGGAAAGCAGCCTGGGTGCCGGGCGGCCTCCATCCAGCCATGGCCTCCACCGCCTGTGCGGCATCTTGCCCACAAATCCAGATGACCCCACAGTTCCCCAGTTCACTCTTATGGAGGCTGGTGGTGATTAAAAGCCTCAGTCTCCATCCTCCCAATAGCCCATCTTTGGGCAGGGCCCCAGCATTAGTATGGGCATAGAGGGGAGGGGAGGCTGGAGATGAGGGCTGCCAGGACTAAGTCTGGGCAAGGACTGAAGGAGGAACTGGATATAGGGGGAGAGGGAAAGGGTGGGAAACACAAACCAAAAAGGCAAAATAAAGTTTTCTTTAAAAAGCCACCCAGGCAACGGATGGCAGCCATGCGCGTGTCCAGTGGTGGCAGAGGGAAGCTCACTCGCGGATGCTGGCCGAGTAGGAGAACTGGGGGAAGTGCGTCCGGTGGTCCAGATCCAGCGAGCCCAGGCTGTCATCTGCAGGGTTGAGTGGAGATGCACTGCAGATGAGGACACTGTAGAAGGTCTGCTGCCCCCACCTGCTTCCCTCTGGGAAGGACTGTGCTGGGACCACAGAAAGCCCAGAGCCAGCAGTGGCAGCTGGTGGGACTAGCACAGAAGGCAAGCAACCTGTTCCCAGACAGAGGCCTCAGTCATGGTCTCCTTCCCAAGTCAGACCTAGGTAGTGATGCTCTCTAATATGGCTCAGATCTCCTGAGCATCCCCCTCCCTTCTCCCTTCCCCAGCTCTTACCATCACCAGGGTCCAGGCTAGACCCTTCCCTGGCCTGTTCCCATCCATGCTTACCTACAGTCCAACACAATTCTGTATGTCACAGAACCCTTCCAGAGATCCCCATGCCAAAGTTCTCCACTTTCCTAAGTGGCCCCCAGGACCTCTTGCTCTAACCTCACACTTTCTTGCCTCTCCCGGGGCCCCATCTGCCAGCCTGCAGCTTGTCTGTCCACTGCAAGGTTCTCGTGTTGGCACTGCACAGGCCACTCCTGCTAGGAATGCACCTTGGTTGCCACACTGCTGCTCTGCAGGCTGAGCCAAGCATCTCCTCAGGCTTCCCCAGCCCTTCCTTCCTGTCAAGGCCCTAAGACTTCAAGACTGTCACCCACCCAGGACTGGGAGCTCCCAGGAGCCAGGCTTAGGGTAGCTTCAGAGCAAGAATGCAAACAACTGAGCAGCCGAGTGCTCTAGTCCTAAGACCAGGACCATCCTCCAACCCCAGAACACACGTAGCCATGGCTCCTGGTGATGCTTACAGCAATAGCAGGCCCTGCAAGCAAATCTTAAGGCAAACAGGCCAGACTCAGAGAAGGTGGCCAACCAGGATCCTACTGGTTGAGTGGGATCCAGGGCAGACCCTACCTCTCTGCAACCCAGACAGGCCCAGGGGCAGTGGGCCTCAGATACTCACAGCGATCTGGGGGTGTGATTGTGATAGACTGGGCGGTGAACTCATCATCGAAGTACCTTGTGTCCACCTCGGAAGTGACCTGAGGTTTGAAGGGTGGCAAGAGCTGTGGAAGACAGGAGGCTGGACTCAGGAACAGCAGGCCATCTGCCATCAGGCCAGGCTAGAGCAGGTGAGGGCTCACCTTCTTCTGTACCACGTCCTGCCAGTTGATGCTGAGGAAGAACCTGTGCTCCATGACCTCCTTGGCATCACTGGGGCCCCCGCCGAGCCTGAGCAGAGACGATCATCAGCACCCACCTCCCGGATTGGCAGGTTCTGGGAGTCAGGCTTGTGGCACAGGTAGGCCTGACCCCAGGCCTGCAGCCATGGGTCCTTCCACAAACTACTTTGCAGAGGAAAGGACTAGGGTTGAGGTAGGGAGGCCCAGATCAGAAGCAGGGAGATGTCACCCTAGGCCCTGGTGGGCTCATAACTGGCCTCATCTCTAGCCAGAAAGGGAGGTGAAGGGTAGCAGAGCAGGCTTAGAAGCCTCTGCCTTCCACAGTCCTGTGCCCGGTCTATTGTCACAGGACTGCTGTATTCCTCAATGTCCCACAAAGGCAGGCAGCACAGGGAGAGTGTGGGGCAGGCCTGGCACATGCAAGTGCCTTCTGAGTGCTTGCCAGGGCCAGCTGGGGGCCACTGGCTGCACTGGGGACCATTCACTGCCAGCCCACACCTCTGCTTCGGGTCCTTCTTCAGCAGCCCAGCCAGCAAGGACTTGGCCTCAGGCCCAAGTGTGCGAGGGAAGCGTATCTCCTCCATGAGGATGAGCTCGAAGAGGCGCTCGTGATCCTGGTTGTAGAAGGGCAGGCGGCCGCACATCATCTCGTACATCACCACACCCAGCCCCCACCAGTCCACCGCACGCCCGTAGTCGTTGTCCTCCAGCACCTGTGGGAAGAGCAGTGAGCGGCCAGGTAGGGGAAATTTGATCAGCGCCACGCTTGGGACTCCCCTTGTCCCCGGCCCCAGATACCTCGGGCGCCAGGTACTCCGGCGTCCCACAGAAGGTTTTCATGGTGGCCCCGTCACTGATGCCCTCTTTGCACAGGCCGAAGTCAGTGATCTTGATGTGGCCATCTTTGTCCAGCATAAGGTTCTCCAGCTGCAAGAAAAGCCAGTATAGGCCGGGCATGGTGATGTACACCTTTGATCCCAGCACTCCAGAGGCAGAGGCAGGTAGATCTCTGTGAGTTCAAGGCTAGCTTGATCTACATAGTACATAGTGAGTTTCAGGCCAGCTGGGGCTATAGGGAGACCCTATCTCAAAAACGGGAGGGAGGAAGGAAGGAAAAGCCAGCATAGGAGGAGCAGGTCCCACTGGGGCTTCCCTCAGCCAGCCTTTCCCTCAGGGGGTGGTGGCCACCACCAGGGGCTCCTTGGGGCTGAGTTCCTAGGAGACAGAACAGCCATCACACATGTACTGTGGGCTTCAGTTTCTTAAGGTTCAATGTAAAAAGCACTATACTCCAAGATTTTTGTTTGAGATTTTTTAATTTATTTTTTGAGACAGGGTCTCACTATGTAGCTAGTTCCAGTTAGCCCTGGCTAGCTACATAGCCTCTCTATGGAGACCCTCCTGCCTCTGCCTCCCAAGTGTTGGAATCAAAGGCGTGTACAACCAGGCTCTGCCTTTAATTTTTTTGAGGCAGTCACTATAACCCAGGCTGACCTTGAACTCAAAGGAATCCTCCTGCCTCAGTCTCTCAAGTGTTAGAACAATGGGCATGAGTCCAACATCTGCTTTTCTCTAAACTATTTTAGTAATGAAACATATACCAGTAAAGAGTATGAAGCACATGACACAAAGGCACCTTAGTCGAGCCTTTGTGACCTCCACTAGGTCAGGTCCCAGAAGCCCCTGGAGCACCAGTTAGTAGCCACCCCTTCCACCCTGAGAAATAACTTTTTTTTTTTAATTTTATGTGTATATGCGTGTATTGCCTGCATGTAGGTAAGTGCACCTGTGTCGTGCAATGCCCGTGGAGGACAGAAGAGGCTGTCAGATCCCTTGGAACTGGAGTTACGGACAGTTGTTAGCTGCCATGGTGGGCGCTGGGATTCAAACCTGGGTCTTCTGCAAGAACAGCCAGTGTTCTTAACTGCTGAGCCATCTCTCCAGCCCCAGAAATAACTATTTAATAAATTTATTCATTTATTTATTTATTTATTTTTTTGAGACAGGGTCTTACCATGTAGCCCTAGTGGCCTAGAACTCCCAGAGATCCATCCACCTCTGCCTCCAGGGTATTGGAATTAAAGGCGAGCACCACTACCCCCAGCTCTAAGGATTAAGTCTTCTTTCCCAGCAGTCAGGCAGCAGAGGCAGGCAGATCTCTGTTAGTTCAAGGCCAGCCTGGTCTACAAAGTGAGTTCCAGGATAGCTGGGGCTACAGGGAGACCCTGTCTCAAAAAGACCAAAACAATTTAAGTCTTCCTGCTTACATAGGTTTCTGTGCAGCACTGGCAGCAGAACCAGGGCCTCCTGTGTGCTATGCCATGTAAACACTACCACCAAGCTGACCTCTGTCCTATATGGCTTTAAGGTTGCGTGTGGACCTCTGAACAGTACTGGAGTCCTCTTGTCAGCCCTGGCCTTTCCCTCAACGCTAGTGCAGACATATCCACACAGCCACTATGGCTTGTTCCTCTATCTAGGCCAGCACATGGCTCCAAGAATGCTGCTGTGTGCACACTTTCCTGGGAGCACATGTCCCTGTTCCTGGTGTATACACAGCAAGGGCAGATGGCTGGCAAGCAGCTTTGATAACACTGTCAATTGACACCCCATCAGCAGGCCTGGTGTGTTCACAGATCCTCACTGTGGAACTGTCTGGGCTGATGCTCTGTTGAGTCCCTGTGAGTGCCATGGGCCAGCCTGGACCCCCTGTGCACTCATACCCCCACCCACTTGCCCCTAGGTCACCCACTCACCTTGATGTCCCGGTACACCACATCTCTTGAGTGCAAATACTCAAGAGCCGAAACTATCTCTGCACCATAAAAGCGTGCTCGCTCCTCCGTGAAGACTCGCTCCCGAGAGAGGTGGAAGAACAACTGTGGAGGAAGGTGAGGGGGTCAGACCTCGGCACTGGCTCCCTGAGTCCTGGCCCCCAGCCCCACAGGCAGATGGGTTCCAGCAAGAAGGGCCAAGCAAAGGAAGGCGAGAAAGAGACATTCGTATGAGGAAGAGAGTAAGGGTATGAGCCTTGGGTAATGCCCGCCTATGGGCTCAGCACTGCACGAAGCAGATTAGGTCTGCTTCCCACAGCTACATGGTAAGTCTGAGGCTATCCCAGTTACACAAGACTCTGTCAAAAAAAAAGAAAAAAAAAAGAGCAAGGGATGAGGCTGGTGTTCTGACGCCCACTCATAATCCAGGTACTTGGGAGGGAGAGGCAGGAGAGTCAGCTTTGGCCACCTCAATGTGATTTTTGCCTTGGGGGAAAAAAAACACAATTAATTGGGCTGGAGAGATGGCTCAGTGGTTAAGAGCACTGGCTGCTCTTACAAAGGATCTGGGTTCAGTTCCCAGTACCTACATGGGGACCAACCATCTGAAACTTCAGTTCCAGGAGATCTGACACCCTCTTCGGGCCTCAGTGGGCACTGCATGACATGGGTGTACTCACATGCATACAGGCAATACATTCATACACATAAAATAATACAATCTTTAAAAAAAAAACAGTAAGTAAGCAAAAAAGGGATGAAGAGGTGAGCAATGAGCAGTGAGTGCCCAGGAAAGGGTAGGCAGGGACAGAGAGGGAGGACAGAGAGGCGGGACAGAGAGGGAGGACAGAGAGGGAGGACAGAGAGGGAGGACAGAGAGGGAGGGACAGAGAGGGAGGACAGAGAGGCAGGGCCAGAGAGGGAGGACAGAGAGGGAGGACAGAGAGGCAGGGCCAGAGAGGCAGGGCCAGAGAGGCGGGACAGAGAGGCAGGGACAGAGAGGCAGGGACAGAGAGGCAGAACAGAGAGGCAGAACAGAGAGGCAGGGACAGAGAGCCGGGACAGAGAGGCAGGGACAGAGAGGCGGGACAGAGAGGCAGGGACAGAGGGCAGGGACAGAGAGCCGGGACAGAGAGGCAGGGACAGAGAGGCGGGGCAGAGGGGGAGGGGGCGGGG